TTTTGGACCGTTCCATACAATAGCAGCTTCCTGATTTTGTGACAATAACTAGGAGAAGGTGAGTATTTGTGGAGCCTGGTTCCTGATTTTCCGAAATTCACCAGGAGAACGTAAGTATTTTTTCCCCCTACTATAGGACATCAACTTCCAGAGTTGGGGAGAATAACCAGGAGAAGGTAAATATTTCTGGACCCATGCATAGGACAGAAGCTTCTTAATTTTGGGACATTAACCAGGACAAGGTGAGTATTTTTGGAACCTTCTACAGGACAGCCAGCTTCCTGATTTTGGAAAAATAACCAGGAGAAGGTGAGTATTTCTGGAACTTTGTAGCCGACATCAGCTTCATGATTTTGGAAGACTAACAGAAGGAGAATATTTGTGCAACTTTGTATTGGACATCAGCTTCTTGATTTTGGGACATTAACCAGGAGAAGGTGAGCATTTTTGTTCGCTTCTATAGGACAGGAGCTTTCTGATTTTGGGACATTATCCAGGATAAAGTATTTGTGGGTCCTTGTACAGGAAAGCCAGCTTTCTGATTTTGGGAGAATAATTTGGGGAATGTGAATATTTTTGGACCATTCTATACGACAGCAGATTCCTCATTTTGTGACAATAACCAGGAGAAGGTGAGTATTTGTGGACTCTTGTATACGACAGCAGGTTCCTGATTTTGGGAAATTCAACAGGAGAAGGTGAGTATTTTTTTCCCCTACTATAGGACAGCAGCTTCCAGGTTTTGGGAGAACAACAGGAGAAGGTGAGAATTTCTGAACACTTTTATAGGACAGAAGATTCTTAATTTTGGAAAAATAACCAGGTGAACGAGAGTATTCCAGATTTTGGGAGAATAATGAGGCGGTGAGTATTGTGGAGCCTTGCATAGGACAGCAGCTTCCTGATTTTGGCACAATAACAAAGAGAAGGTGAGTATTTCTGGACACTTTTATAGGACAGAAGCTTCTTAATTTTGGAGCAATAACGAAGAGAAGGAGAGTATTTATGCAACTTTGTATTGGACATCAGCTTCTTGATTTTGGGAGAATAACCACGAATAGGAGAGTATTTCTGGAGCCTTGAATGCAATATCAGCTTCCTGAATTTGGCACAATAACTAGGAGAAGATTAGGATTTTTGTTCCCTTCTGTAGGACAGGAGCTATCTGATTTTGGGACATTATCCAGGAGAAAGTATTTGTGGATCCTTTTACAGGAAAGCCAGCTTCCTGATTTTGGGAGAATAATTAGGAGAAGGTGAATATTTTTGGAATCTTGTATAAGACAGCAGTTTCCTAATTTTGGGAGACCAACAGGAGAAGGTGAGTATTTGTGGACCCTTCTCTAGGACAGCAACGTCTTGATTTTGGGACAATAACAAAGAGAAGGTGAATATTTCTGGACACTTTTATAGGACAGCAGGTTCCTGATTTTGGGACAATAACAAAGAGAAGGTGAGTATTTGTGGACCCTTGTATAGCCAGGTGAAGGTATTTCTGGAACCTTGTATAGGACCAGCCAGCTTCCTGATTTTGGGACAATAACCAGGAGAGGTTGAGTATTTGTGGACCATTCTATAGGACAGCAGGTTCCTGATTTTGGGAAATTCAACAGGAGAAGGTGAGTATTTTTCCCCCTACTATAGGACAGCAGCTTCCTGATTTTGGGACAATAACCAGAAGAAGATGAGAATTTCTGGACACTTTTATAGGACAGAAGCTTCTTAATTTTGGAAAAATAACCAGGTGAAGGAGAGTATTCCAGAATTTGGGAGAATAACGAGGCAGTGAGAATTGTGGAGTCTTGCATAGGACAGCAGCTTCCTGATTTTGGCACAATAACCAAGAGAAGGTGAGAGTTTTTGGAATCTTGTATAAGACAGCAGTTTCCTAATTTTGGGAGACCAACAGGAGAAGGTGAGTATTTGTGGACCCTTCTGTAGGACAGCAGGTTCCTGATTTTGGGACAATAACAAAGAGAAGGTGAGTATTTGTGGACCCTTGTATAGCCAGGTGAAGGTATTTCTGGAACCTTGTATAGGACCAGCCAGCTTTCTGATTTTGGGACAATAACCAGGAGAGGTTGAGTATTTGTGGATCCTTGTATACGACAGAAGATTCCTGATTTTGGGACATTAACCAGGAGAAGGTGAGTATTTTTATAACCTTGTATCTGACATACAGCTTCATGATTTTCAGAGAATAACCAGGAGAAGGTGAGTATTTGTTGATCCTTGTACAGGAAAGCCAGCTTTTTGATTTTGGGAGAATAATTAGGAGAATGTGAATATTTTTGGATCCTTGTATAGGAAAGCAGATTCCTGATTTTGTGACAATAACTAGGAGAAGGTGAGTATTTGTGGACCCTTGTATAGGACAGCAGGTTCCTGATTTTGGGAAATTCACCAGGAGATGGTACTTTTGGAATCTTCTGTAGGACAGCCAGCTTCCTGATTTTGGGCGAATAACCAGGAATAGGTGAGTATTTCTGGACCGTTCTATAGGACAGCAACTTCTTAATTTTGGCACAATAACCAAGACAAGGTAAGTATTTGTAGACATTTTTATAGGAAAGCAGTTTCCTGATTTTTGGAGACTAACCAGGAGAAGGTGGGTATTTGTGGACCATTGTATAGGACAAAACCTCCTCATTTTGGGACATTGACCAGGAGAAGATGAGCATTTTTGAAACCTACAGGACAGCAGCTTCCTGACTTTGGGACAATAACCAGGAGAAGGTGAGTATTTCTGGACACTTTTATAGGAAAGCAGGTTCCTGATTTTGGAACAATAACCAAAAGAAGGAGAATATTTGTGCAACTTTGTATTGGACATCAGCTTCCTGATTTTGGGAGAATAACCACGAATAGGTGAGTATTTCTGGAACCTTGAACCTTGAATGGAACATCAGCTTCCTGAATTTGGCACAATAACCAGGAGAAGATGAGTGTTTTTGTTCTCTTCTGTAGAAAAGGAGCTTTCTGATTTTGGGACATTAACCAGGATAAAGTATTTGTGGGTCCTTGTACAGGAAAGCCAGCTTTCTGATTTTGGGAGAATAATTTGGGGAATGTGAATATTTTTGGACCGTTCTATATGACAGCAGATTCCTCATTTTGTGACAATAACCAGAAGGTGAGAATTTCTGGGCACTTTTATAGGACAGAAGCTTCTTAATTTTGGAAAAATAACCAGGTGAAGGAGAGTATTTCAGAATTTGGGAGAATAACGAGGCGGTGAGAATTGTGGACTTGCATAGGACAGCAGCTTCCTGATTTTGGCACAATAACCATGAGAAGGTGAGAATTTTTGGAATCTTGTATCAGACAGCAGCTTCCTAATTTTGGGAGACCAACAGGAGAAGGTGAGTATTTGTGGACCCTTCTGTAGGACAGCAACTTCTTGATTTTGGCACAATAACAAAGAGAAGGTATTTGTGGACCCTTGTATAGCCAGGTGAAGGTATTTCTGGAACCTTGTATAGGACCAGCCAGCTTTCTGATTTTGTGACAATAACTAGGAGAAGGTGAGTATTTGTGGACCCTTGTATACGACAGAAGATTCCTGATTTTGGGACATTAACCAGGAGAAGGTGAGTATTTTTATAACCTTGTATCTGACATACAGCTTCATGATTTTCAGAGAATAACCAGGAGAAGGTGAGTATTTGTTGACCCTTGTACAGGAAAGCCAGCTTTTTGATTTTGGGAGAATAATTAGGAGAATGTGAATATTTTTGGACCATTCTACACGACAGCAGATTCCTGATTTTTGGAAATTCACCAGGAGAACCTGACCAGGAGAAAGAGTAATTGTGCAACTCTGTATCGGACATCAGCTTCTTGATTTTGGGAGAATATCTATGAGTAGGTGAGTATTAATGTACCCTTGTATACGACAGCAGATTCCTGATTTTGGGATATTTATCAGGAGAAGCTGAGTATTTCTGGAACCTTCTCTAGGACAGCAGTTTCCTGATTTGGGGAAATTAACCAGGAGAGGATGAGTGTTTCTGGACCCATATATCGGACATCAAGTTCCAGATTTTGGGAGAATAACCAGGAATAGGTGAGTATTTCTGGAACCTTGAATGCGACATCTGGTTCCTGATTTTGGGAGACTAAATAGGAGAAGGTGAGTGTTTCTGGAACCTTTTCTAGGACATCGGCTTTCTGATTTTGGGACATTAACTAGGAGAAGGTGAGTATTTCTGGATCTTTTTATAGGACAGCAGCTTCTTGATTTTGGGGATATTAACCAGTAAAATGTGAGCCTTTCTGGACCCTTGTATCGGACAGCAGATTCCTAATTTTGGGAGAGTAACCAGGAGAAGGTGAGTATTTTTGGAACCTTCTATAGGACAGCCAACTTCCTGATTTTGGAAGACTAACCAGGAGAAGTTATTTCTTTATCCTTCTATAGAACAGCAACTTTCCTGATTGTGGGATATTAACCAGGAGAAGGTGAGTATTTCTGGACCCTTATATAGCACAGCCAGCTTTCTGATTTGAGAGAATAACCAGGAGAAGGTGAGCATTTCTGGAACCCTATACAAGAAAGACAACTTGCTGGCTTTGGGCCAATAACCAGAAGATGTCAAATCTTTTTGTTTCCTTTTACTGGACAGCCAGCTTGATGACTTTTCGTGAATAACCAGGAGAAGGTGAGCATTTGTGGTATAGGAGAAAGCCCTCCCTCCTTCCCTCCCTCTTTGTGTTTCTCCTCCTCTGTCTATGTCAGTGGTTCTCAACCTTTTTAATGCCGCAACCCCCAGCCGGTCGTAAGTCGAGGACTACTCAACCGGTCGTAAGTCGAGGACTACTCAACTGGTGCAGCACCGTTTGCAGAAGGGGACTTTTGGCGGGCTCAGCAGGGCAGAGACAGCCTGGACAATTCCTATTGGCTTTGGAAAGCCAATAGAATTAGACTCTATTCAAGAGAGTCTATTGTATTGGCTTTCAAAAGCCAATAGAATAAAAGGGAGTAGCACAGCTAAGGAAAAGGGGGAAAAAATGGTGGACTGCGTTGTTTGGCGACCCCCGTGAAATGGTCGTTAGACCCCAAATGGGGTCCCAACCCACAGGTGGAGAACCACTGATCTACATTCTTCCCTCTGCAGGCAGAGAGACAGCTTTGGGACTTGGGGACCATTGTTCCCTGTCAGCCCAGGAAAGTGGCAGTGGCAAATCACCAAGAAAACGGCATAGAAGTAACTCCGTAGAGGTAACCCCGCCCCAATTGGGAGGCTCCACCCCAACTGGGAAGCTCCACCCCCTCACCCTCCATGTATCTTGACTCAGGGCTCTGCAGATTCTCATGTTTGCAAATGTAGGTTATATTCTCAGAGCTCCTACAAGCTGGCAGCTCTCCGTGGTGGGCAATCATCACTTGTCAAAAATACCTTGGCCCAATTTCTATATTTCCTTAAGAAATGAGCAGAATTTATTCCCCACCTTCCCAATTCCTGCAGTTTATCTGAATATCTCTGGATTGTCTGGCTAGGTGCATCTGGTTGTTAAGGCAGGACAGTGGGCGGTGAGTTCCAATCGTGCAATACGCACGACGGGCAGCTGTGTAGCTTTGGGCCAACAACTGAGATATGGCAACTTCTATTCTTGAAATCCACACAACAGCCGGCTGAGTGACTTTGGTCCGACAACCAGGAGATGGTGAGTTCTAGTCCTCCAACAGGCACAGAAACTTTCCTTCCTTCCTTCCTTCCTTCCTTCCTTCCTTCCTTCCTTCCTTCCTTCCTTCCTTCCTTCCTTCCTTCCTTCCTTTCTCCCTCCCTCCCTCCCTCCCTCCTTTCCTTTCCTTCATCTCAGTGACCTTAGGCCAATTTTTAGGAGGAAGCTACTCCTAAAAAATCTTGCCAAGAAAAGTGCTTGGACTTGTTCAGACAGAGAATTGGACCCGATGGAATGGATGAAAAAAAGAACAACGGATGAGGAAGACCCTCCTGGCTAAGACCACCGTGAAGCTAGGCCGAGGCCCCCTCCGCCCCCCACGCAGACTGAGGTCGCTGTCAGATCCGCCACCTTCGGCTTGGTGCCTCGCTGCCTTTCTGCATCAACCGGAGAAAGGGAGGGGGCAACACAGGGGCAATACAGCTGTATACCTTTGTGATGGGAAATTGGGAGGGGGGGGTGACGGCTGAGGAAGCACCAAGCGGTTTGGAATCCGGTCCGTGCCGGCATCTTCAATGCCACGTACCCTGGGAATGGAATTTCACCAGCCCAAACACCTCAGCGCTTTCCAAGACATCTCGGCGGTGCCGGATTGGCTGCCCACGGGTGGGCCTTGGGGGCAGGGAACAGGGGATTCGTTCTGTATTGATGCGCGGGAAACTCCAGATTCCACCCGACTCTCCTGCAACCAGCCTCTCTTGGTAAAAGCGCCTTTTCACTTCAACCCGGTGGAGTCGAGGGTTTCTCCCTCCTCGGAGATCAGACTGGAGCAGGTCTGACAGTCCCCCGTTGCGTGATCCGAAGTCAGCGACCGAAGTGGGACCCTGGCCGTTTCACTGGGCGGTTGCTGAAGGAGCCACAACCACTTGATGCTCTGCCGGGTCAACCAACAACTCATGAATCCAAACCGGAGCATTGTGGGCGTGCTGGCTGGGAATTCTGGGAGTTGAAGTCCCCACATCTCAAAGTTTCCAAGTTGGAGAGGCACCGATTTAGAGGCTTCCCCTCTCCAGATGGCTGCGGGTAGCTGACTTTGCCCAAGAGAATCATCAAAATAAAAAAGAAAGAAGCGGACCGTAAGCATCCAGGAGACCCACTGAACATAGGGCAACCCGTGAGGGCATCTCCACCACCCTGCCCCGACGCCTGGCACCGCACCCAGCTTTGCCGGCACACAGAAGAACTCTACCTGGACTCGTCTCAATTCGACTCTTAATTTATTCCTAATAAATCATGAGACCCAGTGACTCCTCAGCCCCCTTCATTTGGGCTTCCAGCCACTCCACTGGGCCCGCCTCGGAGTTTCGTGGTGCCCCCCTTCTCTAGTTGAGCTTCCTCTTGCGTCCTGTGCCCCAGCTTCTCCGAGCCCTCCTTCAGATTCAGGGGGGGTCCCTCTCCTTCCCTGCCTTGGCCCCCGGGGTGCCCTGTGATTCCACACCTCGCTCAGGAAGTGCGCCAGTTCGTGCTCCATGCAGGCCTGCTGGAGGGCGGGGTTGGTGCCCAGTGGGTTGGATCCGAACTCGGGCTGGGCTGGGACGAGGACCTGAGACTGATGGCCACACGACTGGTCCCCGTCTTCTGGACAGGACATTCGGACCCTCCTGCCCCAGTGAAGGGGAACGAGGGGAGACCTAAATCAGTGGTTCTCAACCTTTTTAATGGCGCGACCCCCCAACCGGTCGTAAGTCGAGGACTACTCAACTGGTGCAGCACCGTTTGCAGGAGCTCTTCATGGTTTAGGTATAGGTGATTGCTTATATGAAAAGAGCACAGTAAGGGGAGGGGGAAAAGGAGTTACGGATGGAGCCTGGGTTGCTGTGTAGGAGTCATCATCTAGGAATTGGTTTTTTTGTGCCATCTTATTTATTTATTTATTTATTTATGAGACTTATATACCGCTTTAAGTGCAAGCACTCTCTAAGCAGTGTACACCAGTAAGCAATGTATATATATATATTTACATTGCGCCCCCAACAATCTGGGTGTCAGAATCCAATTATATTTCATCTTTAATTATCAAATATAGAAACTCCCAATTCTGCCTTCTCTGGATTCTGCCATAAGAGGGAGAGAAGGGGGAGATCAAAGGGGCTTTATGGCCCTCACTTCCTTCAGTAGACTTCTAAGGAGCTGAATGCTGAATGTGTGTTTATTGCAACCTCAAAGAGTTAGCACCAAAGAATCTTACCATAACAAAGAAGGTTTATCTGAAGTCTCCATCCAGACGGAAGAAAGAAAAAAGGGGGTGGAATTGTGATACCTGAAACTATCACTGGAAGGGGGGTTGATTGGGTGGGACTACTGGGGAACCCCTTAAAACCTTGAATGGGAGAGCTTGGACCCCAAGTCCTGTCTAGCACGCCTGCAACCACTGCTTCTTAATAAAGGATTCCCGTTGGAAGAATTATTCCAAGAGTTCTGTCTTCTTAAGATGCAAAGTGGGGTGGGTCCTTACACTGGGTCCTCATTTGACCTACCCCGGAAGGATGGAAGGCTGAGTCAACCTTGAGCCGGTGAGATTTGAACCGCTGACCTGCTGAACACAGTCAGCTAAAGTACTGCACTCTAACTGCCTGGTACCAAGACCTGATCTCTTTGTTCTGAAAAGGTATAAAAGGTGGAAGACATCTTTCCTGGTTGTTGCCTTCCTCTCTCTACCAGCCACGAAGAGAGATGGGGGTCACCCAACTCTGTTTTGATCAAAATAAAAGTTGTTTGCTTGCTGAAACCTTTGGCTCTTTTAAATTCCTGAGTAATGCCGAGGCAATTTATTTATTTATTTATGAGACTTATATACCGCTTTAAGTGCGAGCACTCTCTAAGTGGTGTACACCAGTAAGCAATGTATATATATATATATTTACATTGCCCCCAACAATCTGGGTCCTCATTTGACCTACCTCGGAAGGATGGAAGGCTGAGTCAACCTTGAGCCGGTGAGATTTGAACCGCTGACCTGCTGAACATAGTCAGCTAAAGTGGCCTGCAGTACTGCACTCTAACTGCTGCGCCACCTCGGCTCATATTGTGAGGTTAAGTGGAAAACCTTACACAGGGATGCTTCCAAACCAGACTGTGATGCCCTATGCCAGGATGCTCTCGATCGTCCCCCTGTAGAAAGTGGCCAGGACAGGGGAAGGAAGATGTGCTTTCCTCATGCGCGTTGCAACTTCAGTCGCTAAACGCACCGTTGTAAGTCGAGGACCACCTGTGAGATCAGAAGAATGGGGTTTGCGGAAAAACCTCTGCAGACTCCAGTTTGCATGAAAAAAAAAGAACGCTGCAAACCCCAAGAGGAGAAAGGAAGTTCCACAGCGGGGCTCCACCTCTTTTAGCATCAGAGACAGCAAAAAAAACAAACACAACAACACCACAAACACAAGAATGTGGAAACTTCGGAATGAATGAATGGGAAATGGCCAACGCGACCCGCCATCGCCGCTTCCCGCCTTCCCCAGGTGCCCCTCTTTCCTCTGAGTAAGTCTACCGGCTGAGACCGAGCTCTCGCGAGAGCTGAAGGGCGCTAGGCAGCGCCCGCGGGACTCGCGGGCGCGCGGCAGCTGCCCCGGGCGGCGGAGCTCTCGCGAGACTTGGGTCGCAAGCGCTCGCGAGACCCGAGGGCGCGGTCTCGCGGGACTTGGCTGAGGGGGTATCGGCGGCGGCGGGCAGCCGGAGCGCGATGGCGGCCGAGCGGGGCCGCTGGCGGCAGCAGGACCCGGACGCGCCAGGGCAGCGGCGGCCGAGGCGGCGGCAGCACCAGCAGCAGCACCAGCAGCAGCGCCTCGGGCTCCAGGCCGGGCTGAGGCGGCGGCCGAGCGGGGCGGGCCGGGCCTGGCGAGGCGGCAGGGGGTGCTGAGGGGCCTCAGGCCTGCCGGGCGCCATGAGCCAGGGCAGCGGCGGCGGCGGCGAGCCGGAAGCCAAGGCTCTCCACACCAAGAGGCTCTACCGGTGAGCGAGCGGCCAGGCGGGAGGAAGAGCGGCCGCCTCAGCACGGCGTGGCCAGGCGGGACTCCAGGTCCCATCATCCCCGGCGGGCGCCCGGCAAACACCGCGGGGGGGGAGGGAGAAGGGTAAACTCATCTTGGCCCGGATGGGACTCCAGCACCCATTATCCTCGGCAGGCGTGGAGTGGGGGGGCACGTGGGGCACCCCGGCCGCCCCCCCCCGGCCGGCAGAGAAGGGGGAGGGGCGCTCTGGGCATTATCCCCAGGGGCGCGACGGCAGTCCTCGACTTACAACGGTTCGTTTAGTGACCGTTCCAACTTGCATACCCCAAAAGCAACACACCATGACATGACGGTCAAGTCAAGGTTTCGACACTTGCCTCTCCCGCCCTCTATTTTAATAAGGGTCAGGCATTTGTGTAGAGTGCTTGTGAGGGTGACTTTGCAAAGGTCGCTTTTGATGCCTGCCCGTGGTTCAGTTTGAATGTACTGGGTGGCACAGTCTGGATGGCTTCATCTGTCACTTTCCCAGGCTTGGATGGTGGCCCATAGAGCTTGGCAGCTGGTGCCACTGTGGGGTCTTTTAATAGACCATGGCACATGGCTTGCTTTCTGCAGACCCAGAGAAGGGCTGCTTTTAAGCAGCTGCTGAGGGTTAGTACCATTCACAAGTGTTCCTTCTTTGGGAAGGCAAAGAGCTTGGATTGTGTCTCAAAGGTGTTTCCCAAAAGGCAACTGGACCTTCTTGGTTTTTTTTCCTTGAAAATGTTTCATTTCTCATCCAAGAAACTTCTTCAGCACTGATTGCCCTTCAATCAGAACTGAAGAAGCTTCTTGGTTGAAAAGGGAAAAGGGAAAAAAAAAACCCCAAGAAAGTCCAGTTGCCTTTTGAAATAGCATCTTTGGGACAACCGTGACCTGGATGATTAAGGATCTCCATCATCAGATCGGATTGTGGCTTTTTCTTGTCCATGGAAGCCATTGTGGGACAAGAAAGCTAATTTTACAGCCCTGCAGCTATGCATTCCAGAAAGGTGGCTGGCTGTATTAGATTCTGACAGTAGAACTCACAATTGCACACTAAGTCATAAATCACGGTATACAAAATTACAAACAAGGTCCAGGCAGAAGAAGAACATCATGGCTTCAAAATCTAAGCGACTGGTTTGGACAAAACTCAGCAGCACTTTTTTGTGCGGCTGCTGATAAAAACAGGATCGCCAACATCTGATAATGGATAGGGAAGAAGAAGAAGAAGAAGAAGAAGAAGAAGAAGAAGAAGAAGAAGAAGAAGAAGAAGAAGAAGAAGAAGAAGAAGAAGAAGAAGAAAAGAAGAAGAAGAAGAAGAAGAAGAAGAATTCATGTAACATGCTAAGCAATAAATAATAAACGCATATTTTCTTTTCTTTATATTTCATACTTATTATCTGCCCATCTTCCTCAAAGACAGTGTCAGACCTTCCCCTGCAGAGTGCCTGGGAGAGAAAGACCCTCGACTCCATTTGGGTGAAGGGATAGGTTCTTTTCCTAAAGGCTGCTGGTTGCAGCAAAAGTAGGCTAGAACTAAGATTCCTGCACAAAAGGTCACAATTTTTCCCCTCCCTCCAACCCTCCCCCCATGACCAGTTTGTCTTCAGCCAATGAGCCTCGTAGGTGTTTTGAGAATCGCTGAGATGTTTGGGGCAATCCACATTCCACTCTCAGGGTGCGTGACCTTGAAGACTGGCACAAACTGCTTTGTGCCTGCCTGGTCTTTCTTAAGCTGTCATCCCCCCCCCCCTATTTCCCATCATATGCCCATACATGTTCATTGGCCAGTTCTCCCCCCTGCCCCCTCCCTCCTAGCTTTTGATGGTAGGATATCGGCCAGGTGCCAAGCCAAAGATGGTAGAACTGACAGATTCTGGGCGATTCAGAGGGGCTCTGGGTGGTATATAATAGCTTCACATTATATCTGAGTCCAACTGAAGAATTTCCAAGCGACAGCTTCTTCCTAACTTGTGCTTTTCGTAGAGCTGTGGTTGAAGCAGTGCATCGATTGGATCTCATTCTTGGAAACAAGGCAGCTTATCAAGAAATATTTAAGCCGGAGAACATCAGCCTGAGAAACAAGTAAGAGAGTTGGGCTTTTCTTTATTCCTTGTTCTGTATTTCAACCAGATGTTTGGTCTTGAAAGGACAGGATGCAACAGTTTTACTCAAATAAATCTGGGCAAAATATTGCTGGGAAAAAATTAGTTCCGTGGAAATAACAAACTTAGCGTAAAAACATTGTATTCCTGTGTGGCAAAACTAGTTTGCTGTTTAGAGTTAGAGTTCATGTTAGAGTAGAGCAGAGCAGAGCAGAGCAGAGTAGAGCATTGCTTCTATCTAGGACAGTGGTTCTCAACCTTTTTAATGCCGCGACCCCCAACCGGTCGTAAGTCGAGGACTACTCAACCAGTTGTAAGTCGAGGACTACTCAACTGGTGCAGCACCGTTTGCAGAATGGGACTTTTGGCGGGCTCAGCAGGGCAGAGACAGCCTGGACAATTCCTATTGGCTTTTGAAAGCCAATAGAATTAGACTCTATTCAAGAGGAAAAGGGGGAAAAAATGGCGGACTGCGTTGTTTGGCGACCCCCGTGAAATGGTCGTTCGACCCCAAATGGGGTCCCGACCCACAGGTTGAGAACCACTGATCTATGGCTCATGTTCTAGAGGTTCAGCCTCAGTGTAAATTCCATTGCACAGAATATTGTTTGGAAGTAGCTTCATAGAGCAGATTGCGTGGCCTCGATAGACGGTGAAGACACTTCCTGACTTTTAGCAGAATGCAGTTCTTAGTCTTCAAAAGCTGCAGATATACTTCAGAGCCGTGGTGCTGCAGTGGTTAGAATGCAGTATTGCAGGCTAACACTGCCCACTGCCCGCAAGTTCAATCCTGACCAGCTCAAGGTTGACACCGCCTTCCATCTTTCTGAGGTCAGTTAAATGAGGAGCCAGATGGTTGGGGGCAAAACGCTGACAATCTATAAACCGCTTAGAGAAGGCTGTGAAGCGGTATATAATATAAGGAGCTTATGAGCCAAGGAAACTTGAAGTCATCCCACTGGCAGCTCATTTGTCGAGCAAGGACGTCCTTTTGGCTCCTTCCCTCCGATCTTAGGCGTATATATACAATTAGGACTGAAAAAAACATGGTTTTTTAGACCAATTGTAAGCAGCTTCCGTCTCTCTGCTCTTCCCTCCTGCCCCAGGCTCCGCGAACTGTGTGTAAAGCTGATGTTCCTGCACCCCGTGGACTATGGGAGGAAAGCCGAGGAGCTGCTGTGGCGGAAGGTTTACTACGAAGTCATCCAGCTGATTAAAACAAATAAAAAGGTAGGCGATGCGGTCCGATACGTTTGCATCAACAATACAGTCAGCTTGTGGATCACAACAGTCCTTCCTACCCAGCGGTCAGCCTTAGTGATTTGTTGTACTCAATAGTTGGTTGTCTCAATGCCTGCATGGCTGCTCCTTTGAATACCATTTGTTTGGTTTCAAGCAGAGTTTGCCAACCTTTCTGGCTTTGCCGACCGGCGGAGGGAGAGGGGATGGTTCCACATGAGTGGCCGGCGCAGCTCACGCCAATGGAACACGTGCGCACATGCTCACCCGCTGCTCATGCAAGTGGGGTGTGTGTGTGCACACTGGCTTATCCGCCTTTTCCATGGCCTGGCTGCAAACACCTCACGGCCCACTAGTGGACTCTGGCCCTGAGGTTGGGCACCCCCAATTTAAAGAACTGACCAACTCAGCCTCCTCCTACCTTCAGTGTTGGGCTAGAAAAGAATCTTATTTGGATGAAAGATAGAACAATAAATAAAAATGCCAGAGAGAGAGGGGAGGAATGGTTCTGGGCGGGTAACACTACACTTCATTCAGTCTGGGACTTTGAAGCAAGAGAGTTGCAGGATTACCCCCTGGCTAGGTATTTGGGCTTTTTTGTCTCTTTCAACTGAGAGATTGTGGAATCCCTAATTAATGATTGATCTAAGAAAGTGGAAGAGGCATGGGTAAATCCAGGGGGCCTCCATGCTTTTCAGAATGAGAGCTAAAGGTTGACTATTATACTTAAAAGTATATTTTTGAACGGACCTATAGAACTGTGGGTAGTCCTTGGCTTAGGACAGTGGTGGCGAACCTATGGCACGCGGGCCAGAGGCGGCACTCGGAGCCCTCTCTGTGGGCACGTGTGTCGCCACCCCAGCCCTGCTCCCCCCGCGGCCTTCACCAGCAGCCCCCCTGGAGGAGAGTCGCCTCTGAGCGCGGCCTGCACAGAGCAGCACAGCCAAGGATATGGCAGCTGGGCAGCAGGAACAAGACTCTGCCCTCGTGCTTTATAGCACGCAGATGATGCTGCGGGTGTGGGCGGAGGGCATAGCTGCCATGGGGCTTCAGGGCTGCCTGGGCAATCTGCGGTGGGCCATGGAGGCGGTGTGTGATCCTGCGGGTGGGTGGGGCGGGGCAGGCAGGGCTGGAGGCGGAGTGGGGGCCAGTTTTTGGGCACTTGGTCTCTAAAAGATTAGCCCTCACTGGCTTAGGACCACAATTGAGCCCCCAATTTCTGTGGCTAAGCAAGACAGTTGTTATTTCTTGCCACGCTTGTGGTTGTTAAGTTAGTAACCCGGTGGTTAAGTGAATCTGGTTTTCCCATTGACTTTGCGCATCAGAAAGTTACAAACGGTGGTCAGGTGATCCTGGGACACGGCAACCGTCATAAATACGAGCCAGTTGCCAAGCTTGATCATGTGACCACGGGGATGCTAAAACGCTCGCAAGTATGAAAAGCGGGCATGTCCCCCTTTTTTCAGTGCTGTTGTAACTCTGAATGGTCACTAAATGAACCGTTGCAAGTCGAGGACTACCTGTATTTGTGTCTCCCAGCAGTAAACTGCAGCTGGGCTTTTCAGCGGGGATTCCGCTCCGTCGTTGCGTTGAGTACAGTTCAATGTTGGCATTGGAGTCTTCAGAAGGAGAGCAGGCCTGAAATGGATAGGAATGGAATTGTTTAATTGCTGAATTAATCTGGGGCTTGATCTTTTGAGAAAGAAACACGGGTAGCCCTCGACTTGCAACAGTTCGCTTAGTGACCGTTCAAAGTTACAACGGCACTGAAACATGTTTTTCATAGCTACAACCTTTGCAGCATCCCCACGGTCACGTAATCAAAAGTCAAGACGCTTGGCGGCTGGTTTATGTTTATGACCGTTGCAGTGTCCCAAAGTCACGTGATCGCCTTTTGTGAACTTCTGACCAACAAAATCAGTGGGGAAGCCACATTCGCTTAACAGCCATGTGACTAACTTACCAACTGGAGTGATTTGCTTAACGGCGGCAAGAAAGGCCGTAAAATGGGGCAGAACTGCCCGTTGATTATCAGCGGAGACAAATCAGGGTTGAAAGAATCTCAAAGCCTTATGTCTGTCATTGTGTCTAGGGTTTTTATTCCTCTAAATCAGTGGTTCTCAATCTGTGGGTCGGGACCCCATTTGGGGCCGAACGACCATTTCACGGGGGTCGCCAAACAACGCAGTCCGCCATTTTTTCCCCCTTTTCCTTAGCTGTGCTACTCCCTTTTATTCTATTGGCTTTTGAAAGCCAATAAAATAGACTCTCTTGAATAGAGTCTAATTCTATTGGCTTTCAAAAGCCAATAGAAATTGTCCAGGCTGTCTCTGCCCTGCTGAGCCCGCCAAAAGTCCCATTCTGCAAACGGTGCTGCACCGGTTGAGTAGTCCTCGACTTACGACCGGTTGAGTAGTCCTCGACTTACAACCGGTTGGGGAGTCGCGGCATTAAAAAGGTTGAGAACCACTGCTCTAAATAATGGGATTTGAACTATCTTAACTATCTTGCTTGGGCTCAGTTGCGGTCGTAAGTTGAGGACTGCCTGCCATGAAAAGCTAGAGATGGACCCTAACTTTCTCTCTTGTTTCCCAACCCACAGCACATTCATAGTCGTAGCACCCTCGAGTGCGCTTACCGGACTCACCTGATTGCTGGCATTGGGTTTTACCAACACCTGCTCCTCTACATTCAGTCTCACTATCAGCTGGAGTTGCAGTGCTGCATTGACTGGACCCACGTTACAGATCCCCTGATAGGTCAGTACTTCAGCTAAGGCTGAAGATTTCATCGTGTGCAAGAATTGCTTGACTCATCTGGCCTGTTTATGCTTTTGAGGTCATGAGCAACACAATAATAGCGTTGGAAGGGATTTGGGAGGTCTTCTAGTGCAGCTTTTAAAAAGGGCGAGGGAATGGATTTTATAATTATGTTTCTTCATCTCAACTTTTACTGCAATCACCTGAGATTCCTCGACAGTTTTAAGTGAGATAGACATGTCCAGATTAAACATTGCCTTAGGAAAGAGTATAATCATAGCTTGATTTGTGATTAGATAACTGCTAATCGCCTTCATGCTTTTTCAGCTCTTGACTGGTGGGAATCTGTAAAGCTGTCGCCCATCGTAACTTGCTAGATGACTATTGTCCTTGGCAACCGTTGCTATGAGCATCTCCCTGGCTTCTCTGTAGAATTGATGGAGTGTGATTAACAATTTTCAGGCCCACGCTCGACTTCTTTGTCTTTTGGGGTCCTGGTTATACCTTAAAATCTCATCCAAATCTCTGTAAAAGCACTTGACTGCATAGAGAGTGAGTAATAAATGCCCCAAAATGGGACATCGAAGCTCATTTTAAGAAAACCTTTAGGCCAGTTTTCCCCAACCTGATTTTTTTCCCCCCAGATGTTCTGTTCTCCATCAAGCTGCAATCTACATAAATAAAAATGAGAATACATTTTACAATCAGAACAAATGAATTCTCCTGATTTTGTGGCATGTTCACAGTCCTGGCAGTTAAATTCATAATTTAGATCGTAAATTATGTCATAAATTATGTCGTGCAAATATGAAGTGTACATTTACACCACCGGCTAAACCAGAGATAGGCAACCTTGGCTCTTTTATGACTGGTGGACTTCAACTCCCAGAATTCCTGAGCCAGCATGGCTCAGCTTGGAAACCTCTACCTTTCCCCTCAGCATGGCTGGCTCAGGAATTCTGGGAGTTGAAGTCCACGAGTCATCAAAGAGCCAAGACGGCCTACCCTTGGGCTAAACCAAAGCCAAGCCATAGTTTTATGGTTGAATCCTGTGGGTGAGCCATTCCTGTGTAAGTCCTGCTCTGTTCCCTTGTGGAGTTAAGGTTTCCTTTGGTTTTGCCTTTTTACTTTTCCGGGTTTAATATCCTCCCTGGCCATTTTTAAATTGTGCATTTGGCAGGTGTGGGAGACACACATGGGAGATGTGCTAATAAACGGAGGGAGGGGGTTAAAGCAGTTTGGGCAAGATCTGCAGCAGGGAAGAAGGAGGCTGTAGGGGAGAGAGAATAGCACTGACAGGAACCAGAAGGGTTAAACTGGATTGATCCAGCCCCCGTACCCCCCAAGGAAAAAATGTGAAGCCATTTTAAGAGGCAGTGGTTTCCAAGATATTGAAACCATGGCACCGGGTTGCTGTTGGACACTGATGATCTGGTCAAGGGGGGAGGACGTGGGAATACTCAGTTCTGTTGTTGTTGTTCATTGCGAAGTCGTGTCCGACCCATCGCAACCCCATGGACAACGTTCCTCCAGGTCTTCCTGTCCTCTACCATCTTCTGGAGTTCATTTAAGTTCACACCTCCTTCTTCAGTGACTCCATCCAGCCATCTCATTCTCTGTCGTCCCCTTCTTCTCTTGCCCTCCATCTTTCCCAGCATTAGGCCCTTCTCCAGTGAGTCCTTCCTTCTCATTAGGTGGCCGAAGTATTTGAGTCTCAACTTCAGGATCTGGCCTTCTAACTCAGTTCTAGCCTCGCTTTTATTGCAACCACTAATCCTTAGTAAAAGATCACTTCAGTCAAATGGAGTCGAGGGTCTCTCTTTCTCAGGGAAGGCAGCTGGGGCAGGTCTGACAGTGAGCCAAAGTAAGCAAAGTGTGAAGGTAGACCGCCAATGGCCGACACAGAGCCCGGGCTGTCTCGATTCTCCAGCGCCTTGCTCTAACGCTGTGCCACCCTGTCGATTATTTCTTCCACAGGTTGCAAGAAGCCAGTCTCTGCATCAGAGAAGGAGATGGACTGGGCTCAGATAGCTTGCCATCGGTGTCTGGTTTACCTGGGAGATTTAGGTGAGAGAGCATTTTCCTGGGATTCAGGTCCCAAGGCTTGGATTTATTTGGAATCGGGGGGTGGGGGGGTGGGGAAGCCCCGTCTTAAGTAGCAGACCATCTTGGTTGTGGTAGCTAAAGTTTGAGACAAGCCCCTAGGGCAGTGGTGGCGAACCTATGGCAGGGGTGCCAGAGGCGGCACTCAGACCCTCTCTGTGGGCACACGCGCCGTTGCCCCAGGCCTTCCGCTGGGTTTTATAAAACCTTTTCGCTTTAGGCCTCCGCCATGTGCAAAAAAAAAAAAAAGGTTCAATCAGTCAATTTCAACTTCTCGCGGGAAAAAAAAAGATCTTGCAAAGTTGGAATTGATTGATTGAACTTTTTAGTTCCACCCAGTCTGCCGTTACCAGCGCAACCACGCCCACCCAATGGGCCACACCCCTCAATTGGCCACACCCACCCAATGGGCCACACCCACCCGGCACCCGACAATGCATAAGTGGGTTTTGGGTTGCAGTTTGGGCACTCGGTCTCTAAAAGGTTCGCCATCACTGCCCTAGGGCAGGGGTAGGCAACCTTGGCTCTTTTATGACTCAACTCCCAGAATTCCTGAGCCAGCCATGCTGAGGGGAAAGGGAGAGTTTCCAAGCTGAGCCAGGCTGGCTCAGGAATTCTGGGAGTTGAAGTCCACGAGTCCTAAAAGAGCCAAGGTGGCCTACCCCTGCCCTAGGGACTTTGATTTCATTTTTCAGCTGCATTTTGATGATAAGGAATCTCCTACTGTCTGAAGCATTTCCAGATGCTCAGCTACATAAAAGGAATGGTATATTTTTCTTTCCATTGGGTATCACTTCTTTCGTGCTAGTTAAATGACATGACTTTCAGTTAGGTGGTATAAAGCTTCGCTGTTTCACTCTTGCACATAAATGAGTCAAGTATCTTCTGATGTATATCATCTCAATTGTGCTTCTCAAGGCTTCTGTGTGTCTTTTGTGCCTTATCAGCTCGATATCAGAACGAATTGGCAGGTGTAGACACAGAATTGCTGGCTGAAAGGTTTTACTATCAAGCTCTTTCTGTTGCACCACAAATTGGTGAGTACTTAGTAATTGACATGCATATATAGAGGTATGCACAATCAAACAACACATGTATGTATTTTGTAATTGATCACAAATAGAATATGGGTCAGCGAATGGAATGGAATGGAATGGAATAGAATAGAATAATAGAATAGAATAGAATAGAATAGAATAGAATAGAATAGAATAGAATAGAATAGAATAGAAACAGGAAGAAGAATGGAATGGAATGGAATGGAATAGAATAGAATAGAATAGAATAGAATAGAATAGAATAGAATAGAATAGAATAGAAGCTGGAAGGGACCTTGGAGATCTTCTAGTCCAGCCCCTTGCTCAAGCAGGAGAACCTATATACCATTTCAGACAAGTGGCTGTCCAGTCTCTTCTTCAAAATCTCCAGGGATGAAATCTCCACGATTTCTGGAGGCAAGCCGTTCCACTGGTTAATTGTCCTTTAAGTTTTACCTCATTTTTAATGTTTAATTGCAACTTCCCAATTTAACCTTTACGATCCATAGTCTTTAAATTTCTGGTAACCCAAATTTCCTTTATTTCATTACACAAAAGTTATAATATCTAAAATGCGTATATTAGCTACTTAAATATGTTCTTCTTATTTTATTTCATAAACATTTTCTATTTTTCATCCTAGTACATCACCACTTACTAACAGAGTAGCCTTTATATCTTCACTTTAAAGCAGTTTATTTGGGTATCCTGATAAAGTGGGATCTCCCAGTGAAAAGGAGAACCTCAGGACCCATTTTACATTCCTTTTTATAGTTAACATAACAGAGAAAAATGAAAGAGGGAAAAGTTGGTGGGACAAAATAAGAGAAACCCCTCCTTGCGTAGTAAATCAACTACAAAGCTTGTTTGAAGCTAGTTAACCAGATGCCAGTTGACACAAAGAAACTTTGTCTTAGTCTCCAAGCATCCTTCTGTAAATGACCTTTTCAGTTTAGGAATGTCCAAAGCTATTCTAATCAATCCATACAACCACAGGACAAAAAGCTCCCCCACATTCTTCCAGTTGTCATGAACCTCGACATCATTTTAAAAGAGAAAATAAATCAAATTAAAATGCAAAGTACCTCCGTTAGGTAACACCTTACAAAATCCATGTCGTGTGCCCCCTCTCAGTTGTGATTGCGAAGAACAACTCTGGAGGGTGCTCTGGATGTTTGTGTCTTTAGGTTGCGTAATAATGGAATGTGTTTGCTGTGTTTTCTGTCTTTGGGGGACAGGGATGCCTTTTAATCAACTTGGGACCCTGGCTGGGAGTAAGTACTACAACGTGGAAGCTACCTATTGCTACTTGCGCTGGTAAGTGTGTCTCCTACAGAAAAATTATTTATAAAAGGCAGCTGCTCTTACTTAGGACACCAAAACTTCTCTGTCCTGTAGACCAGGGGTCTCCAACCTTGACAACTTTCAGACTTGTGGACTTCCACTCCCAGAATTTAACTGCTCAGATCCTAGCATCCCTCCGTTGTGTCGACATTTTGTAACAATAAAAGACTTTTAGGAAAATAATGCCTGGAAGTTCTTTGAAATGTTTCATTAGCCGGAACCATAACAACATGCTAGAATCTAAGTTCTCTTCCTCTGAGCAGTTAAATTATCAGCATGTTCCCTCCCTAAATTAGCCCTCATATCTCACATTCTCCAATTAGTGTGAAGGTCAAAGGTTTCCTTCCTCTTTCTTTCCCCGGGCTTTACCCCCAACCCCCCTTCTGCTCTGTATTAACCCCATAAATACCAGACAAGTCTGCATATTGTCAAAAGCAAGAATGTACAATATTTGAAGCGTTGACACAAGAGTTCTGGTGAAATATCAGCCTTCTTTAAAAAAAAAATAATAATTCACACACGTGACCTAGCCCAGCATTCTGCAGTGACTTCCATTGCCTGAAATGTGGTTTCTCTGCAGAATGTAGGCTTGGTAGATCCCAGATTCCCCGTAACGGGTACACTGAGCATGAACTAGGTTAGGTGTTTCACGAGCAAATAGGCAGCCTTTGTGGAAGGGAGAGAAACTAAAGTCGCCAAAGTAAATCTTCTGGGAGGGGAAAGGAGGGAGGGAGGAGAAGGAAGGAGGGAAGGAGGAGTGGAGGACGGGAGGAGGGAAGGGAGAGAAGGAAGAAAGGGGGAGTGGAGGAAGGAGTGGAGGAAGGGAGGGAAGGAAGGAAGAAAGGAGGAGTGGAGGAAGGGAGGAGGGAAGGGAGAGAAGGAAGAAAGGGGGAGTGGAGGAAAGGTGGAGGGAGGGAAGGAAGGAAGGAAGGAAGGAGGAGTGGAGGAAGGGAGGAGGGAAGGGAGAGAAGGAAGAAAGGGGGAGTGGAGGAAGGGAGGGAAGGAAGGAAGAAAGGAGTGGAGGAAGGGAGGAGGGAAGGGAGAGAAGGAAGAAAGGGAGTGGAGGAAGGGAGGGAAGGAGGAGTGGAGGAAGGGAGGAGGGAAGGGAGAGGGGGAGTGGAGGAAGGGAGGGAAGGAAAGAAGGAAGATGTCTTCCTTGAATAAATTGACTGCAGCAGCCTTTTATTCTGGCCTTTAATTCTGTTTTAAACTTCTTGCCGAGCGCAAGATGTTTAAAGCAGAATTAAGGCTGTTCCTTGGGAGAGTCTGATTGAGAAAATAATTTCTCTGCTCCCTGGGCTTTGCTCCCCTGTTTAGCATCCAGTCGGAAGTCTCCTTTGAAGGTGCTTATGGGAATCTCAAGCGCCTCTACGACAAGGCAGCCAAAATGTATCACCAGCTGAAAAAATGCGAGACGCGGAAGCTGTCTTCGAGCAAAAAAAGGTGAGAAGGCAGTCCCCCGCAGGCCCTCAAGAATTTCACTCAGCCTCCAGTCGACATTCAAAGGGACTCAGCTTACTGAGTCAACCCCATTGCCTAGGTCGGGTAGGCAACCATGCTGGCTCAGGAATTCTGGGAGTTGGAAGTCCACGAGTCATAAAAGAGCCAAGGTTGCCTACCCCTGCCCTAGGTTCTCACAACAAAGGAAGCATCAGTTGGAATAACCTGCCTCCAGAAGCGGTGAGTGCTCCAACACTGGAAGTTTTTAAGAAGAGACTGGACAGCCATTTGTCCGAAATGGTATAGGGTTTTCTGCGTGAGCAGGGGGTTGGACTAGGTGACCTTCAAGGTCCCTTCCAACATCATCATTATTATTAATTATTATTATCACAAATTGCACAGGCATAATTGGGCCTTCAGTTTCTGCTATTTTCTTAAAACGTGTGGGAGAAGAAATGTCCCAGGCCTAGTTTGAATTTCACAAGGAGAATCTTGTTCAAATATTTTGGGAGATGCGCTGGGAACAGCTATTAAGAGAGCAGCAGGGAACAAGAATACGTTGTGGTCAAATTGATGAAGGCCCTTGCAACCAGATACGGGTGGTCCTCATTTAACAACCGGCTGTTCAGCGACCATTCAAACTTATAATGGCGCTAAACGAGTGGCATTTCTCTGCAGCTCCATGATATAAATTTGTGGCCTTCCTTGATGGCTTCCCACAAGCAAACAAGGAAATTGGTGAGACATCACAAGTCACAAGTCCTCACTTAATGACTTGCATGGTGTTTGCTCTGACAGCAACTGGAACTGCCAGAATTGCCATTGCTAAGCAGTGCAGTCGTGTGATGTCACACTTTATGACAGCATTGCTTAGCAAGGGCGCTTCTAGTCCATTTGCCGTTGTTAACCAAGGACTACCTGTTATGTCTCAGCAAAATCCTAAACGGGAAGTAATCATAAGAAAAACAATGGAGGAAAAAAAGTTTCCGGTCTCTTTACCTTCATACTCAGCGATGCTTTAAAAAGGGAAATGTTAATATGTCCATCAAGTTTAAGATTCCACTGCGGTTCCAGTTCTCAGGTCTTCTTTTTGAGGCCAAAGATTCTGAAATTTAAGGGTTTTAAGAGAAGATTTAAACATTGCTTTGTCCAACGATCACATCGAGTCAGAGAGATAAGATTTTTCACCAAGATTTCCCTCCAGTCATTTTTTTTCCCACTTGCCAAAAGCAATTAAAGGGGTGAAAAATTCATGACGTTTGTGTCTGACTTGTATCAAAACCTGCTAAACGCTTCCTCTCTCTCCTTCCCACCCTCTCAAATTTGGCAGGTGCAAAGACATTAAAAGGTTGCTGGTGAGCTTCATGTATTTGCAGAGCCTCTTTCAACCAAAGAGCAGGTAAGATTCTCCCCTGTGAAACCTCCTGATGCCATAAACACAGATTTTTAAGAAAAGTTTCCATGATGGCCTGCCTTGGTGGGAGAACCGGGGCTGGTCTGCTCCACAGCAGACTATGGTTCCCTGCATGGCGTAACAGCTGCCATATTAGTAAGTTAGAGTAGTGTTGTTTTCTTAGCTACTTTCAGTTTTAGTGGCCCCCTTTTTCTTTCTTGGGTCTGTGATCTTGCAGCTGAACACACACAGAGACACACACGTAGTAATCAGTGCTCAGTCATTGCAGGGTGCAAAAACTGGCTGCTCCCTACGCAGCTTTTATTGTTTATATACAGTTTACAAGCAGCAAAAGTTTCTACATGACAATACCATTTCGTTGGTTAAATAAGAATAAGAAACCAGAGGTCAGAAACAGGGAATAGTAATGGCAATAACATCTTGTTGATGTGAGCTAGCTGTTATCAGACTGGCAAGGTCAAACAGAGCTGCGCACTTTCACATGGCCATGGTGATGTGAGGGAGGGGAGATAGATCTAGAGAAGAAGAAGCACACAGGCATTGGAGGGGCAGTTTTCCACACACGACCTTTGCCTGGCTCCCACCTCTACACATGCACACACACCAGTGGTTCTCAACCTTCTTTAATGTCACGACCCCCAACCGGTCGTAAGTCGAGGACTACTCCACCGGTCGTAAGTCGAGGACTAAACTGGTGCAGCACCGTTTGCAGAATGGGACTTTTGGCGGGCTCAGCAGGGCAGAGATAGCCTGGACCATTCCTATTGGCTTTGGAAAGCCAATAGAATTAGACTCTATTCAAGAGAGTCTCTTCTGTTGGCTTTCAAAAGCCAATAGAATAAAAGGGAGGAGCACAGCTAAGGAAAAGGGGGAAAAAAATGGCGGACTGCGTTGTTTGGCGACCCCCGTGAAATGGTCGTTCGACCCCAAATGGGGTCCCGACCCACAGGTTGAGAACCACTGACACACACACACGTTCGGTGGGCTCTTGGTTCAGATGGAGCCCCGTTGCGGATTTGTCGCGGGGACTCTGTTCAGGTACTCACACTCCCCCTGGTTTCCCGAGCTGAGTTTTCTACACAGTTGTGGCTGCCTCCTGGTTGCAGCGGCTCAGTCCTCTGCCTTTTTCTCTCTCGTCTCTCCTCAGTTCTGCCGACTCGGAGCTGACCTCTCTCTGCCAGTCAGTCCTGGAAGAATTCAACCTCTGCCTTTTCTACCTGTCCTCTTCGCCCCACACCAGCTCTACCCCGGAGGAGGAGGAGGATTGGGAGAACGGCTGCTCCTTCTTGCCGGACCTGCTCATCTTCCGCATGATTGTCATCTGCCTGATGAGCGTTCACAGCCTCAAGAGGGCAGGTAAGTGGCACAGCTCGCAGGCTCAGAGCCAGGAGCTCCGGGTTCCGGATTAACTATACTCTGGGTTATTGTACAGGTGAAACTCGAAAAATTAGAATATCATGCAAAAGTTCCATTTATTTCAGTAATGCCACGTAAAAGGTGAACCTAATATATGAGATGGACTCATTACATGCAAAGCAAGATAGTTCACGCCGTGATGTGTCATAAGTGAGATGATTACGGCTTACAGCTTATGAAAACCCCAAATCCACAATCTCAGAACATTAGAATATGGTGTAAAAGTTCAATATTCTAGGCTCAAAGTGTCTCACTCTAATCAGCTAATTAAGCCATAACACCTGCAAAGGGTTCCTGTGCTTGATTGGCCAGCAAACTCGCCTGACCTGAACCCCATAGAGCAGTGGTTCTCAACCTTTTTAATGCCGGGACCCCCCAACCGGTCATAAGTTGAGGACTACTCAACCGGTCGTAAGTCGAGGACTACTCAACTGCTGCAGCACCGTTTGCAGAATGGGACTTTTGGCGGGCTCAGCAGGGCAGAGACAGCCTGGACAATTCCTCTTGGCTTTTGAAAGCCAATAGAATTAGACTCTATTCAAGAGAGTCTCTTCTATTGGCTTTCAAAAGCCAATAGAATAAAAGGGAGCAGCACAGCTAAGGAAAAGGGGGAAAAAAATGGCGGACTGTGTTGTTTGGCGACCCCCGTGAAATGGTCGTTCGAGCCCAAATGGGGTCCCGACCCACAGGTTGAGAACCACTGCCATAGAGAATCTATGGGGCGTTGCCAAGAGAAAGATGAGAGACACGAGACCAAACAATGCAGAAGAGCTGAAGGCCGCTACTGAAGCATCCTGGTCTTCCATAACACCTCAGCAGTGCCACAGGCCGATAGCTTCCATGCCACGCCGCACTGAGGCAGTAATTGCTGCAGAAGGGGCCCAAACCAAGTACTGAGTTACATATACATGCTTATACTTTCCAGAGGTCCGATATTGTTCTACGTACAATCCTTGTTTTATTGATTGCCTGTAATATTCTAATGTTCTGAGATTGTAGATTTGAGGTTTTCATGAGCTGTAAGCCGTAATCATCTCACTTACGACACATCACGGCGTGAACTATCTTGCTTTGCACGTAATGAGTCTACCTCATATATTAGGTTCACCTTTTAAGTGGCATTACTGAAATAAATGAACTTTTGCACGATATTCTAATTTTTCGAGTTTCACCTGTAAAGCAGCAGCCCCCCCCCCACACACACCTTTTGGGCACCAGAGACCAGTTCCATGGACAGAGGTTTTTCTGTGGCCTGGAGGTAGCCTGGTTCCTTGTGCTACCTGCATCCTGCAGATGGGGCTTCGCTTGTTTGCGTGGCCCAGTTGCGGGCATGCCACGGCCCAGTGCCGCTTCATGGACCAGGGGTTTGGGGACACTTCCTAAAAGGAATGTTTCCTTCCAGCCCCTCGGGTGTGGTGGAGGCCTGCTTGTGGCGGGGTCTCTCCTGACTCCTCCTCCACATGACAGGTAGTCCTCAACTTACAACAGTTTGTTTCGTGACCGATCAAAGTTACAACAGCAGTGAAAAAAGTGACTTAGGACCGTTTTTCAAGCCTAAGACCATTGCGGCATCCCCATGGTTACATGATCAAAATTGGGATGCTTGGCAACTGACTCATGTTTATGACGGTTGCAGCATCCCGGGGTCTTGTGGTCTCCTTTTGTGAGCTTCTGGCAAGCAAAGTCGATGGAAAAATCAGATTCACTTAATAACCCTGTTAATAAATTAACAATGAAGTGATTCGCTTAACAAACGTGTCAGGAAAGGTTGTAAAATGGAGCAGGATTCACTTAGCAAATGTCTCATTTAACGACATAAATTTTGGGCTCAATTGTGGTCGTACGTCAGGGACTACCTGTATTGCTAAAAGTGGCCAGTGCAGCACATAACAAGTAGACTGTGTCTGTGGAGATGCTCAGTCATCCAGATCATGGTTGTCCCCAAAATGCTTTTCCAAAACCCCAATGGACTTTCCTGGTTTTTTGTTTTCCTTGAAACATTTCGCTTCTCATCCAAGAAGCTTCTTCCATTCTGGCTTCTGCTTCAGTCAAAACTGAAGAAGTTTCTTGGAAGAGAAGCAAAACATTTTCAGGGGAAAAAAAAAACCCCAAAAAGTCCAGCCAAGAAAGAAGACCAATGTAATATCAATATAAGATGAATTCGGTCCTTAAACGTACATCTAATCTATGTAGAAACCCATTGCTCCACCTTCCCATTTTTAGAATATAAAGGCATTTCAAAAATTGGTAAACGACTCCACACATTCATTGCTTAACCCAGTGGTTCTCAACCTGTGGGTCGGGACCCCATTTGGGGTCGAACGACCATTTCACGGGGGTCGCCAAACAATGCAGTCCGCCATTTTTCCCCCTTTTCCTTAGCTGTGCTCCTCCCTTTTATTCTATTGGCTTTCAAAAGCCAATAGGAATTGTCCAGGCTGTCTCTGCCCTGCTGAGCCCGCCAAAAGTCCCATTCTGCAAACGGTGCTGCACCAGTTGAGTAGTCCTCGACTTACGACCGGTTGGGGGTCACGGCATTAAAAAGGTTGAGAACCACTGGCTTAACCTGAGGACAGTAAGTGTCTTTCTGCTGTGGTTTAGCTAACATGGGCAGCCAGCCCCTGTTTGCACCAGTTGCTTGATAATAATTGTATGTTAATTGGTTTTGATGTTCCTTTGTTTTTAACTTTTTATATTTTAGCTTATACGTAACTGTAAGCTGCCCAGAGGTACTGTATGGTAAGATGTGGGGAGGGGGGCATAAATGTTATAAATAAATAAATGTTTATTTGGATGTGGATTTTTTTTTTTTTTTTTTAGTTTGGGCATTGTGTGCTCTTTGAATATGGTTGTCGTCTTTTCTGAATCCAGGTGTAACCGTGGCTGGTTCTCATTTTCCCTGCAGGCTCCAAACAGTACAGTGCAGCCATTGCCTTCACCCTGGCCCTCTTTTCACACCTGATTAACCATGTCAACATCCGCCTCCAGGCCGAACTGGAAGAAGGAGAGAACCCAGTTCCAGCCTTCCAGAACGATGGCACCGGTAAGGACACGTCTTCCCTGGAGAGCTGCTCTTTTGGGCAGATCAGCCCCTGATCCTGGGGGCAAAGTAGCTGGAGTCAGACCCCCCCCCTTGACCCATCTCTTAAGAGCAATGCATGGAGAACACACATATTGCCTAGTTGACTAACAGGTTATGTTTCTGAGTGCTTAAGGCAGCATATTTGTTTTAATTATATCTGTAAGGACCCACCCCACTTTACATCTTAAGAAGACAGAACTCTTGGAATATCCCTTCCAATAGGCATCTTTATTACCGTAAATGCTGGCGTACAAGGCGACCCGGCGTATAAGACGACCCCCGTCTTTATAGCCGGGCCGCATTCCTAGAACGTCGTCTTATACGCCGGAAACTACCCGTATTTCCGGCGTATAAGACGACTCGGCGTATAAGATGACCCCCGTCTTTGGCGCTGATTTCAGCGCTCGCGGAAGTCACCTTATACGCCAGCATTTACGGTAAGAGAAGATGGTGGCAGGCGTTCTAGACAGGACTTGGGGGCCAAGCCCTACGGTTCAAGGTTTTAAGGGGTTCCCAGCAACCCCACCCCTTCCAGGGACAATCCCAGGCGTTACATTTCCACCCCCGTTTTTCTCACTGCCGGCAGAAGGGAGACTTCAGAGGGGAGTAGATGAAAGCTGATGGCCCCGTTGTTATGGTTAGCCCAGTGGTTCTCCACCTGTGGGTCGGGACCCCATTTGGGCTCGAATGACGATTTCACGGGGGTCGTCAAACAACGCAGTCCGCCATTTTTTCCCCCCTTTTCCTTAGCTGTGCTACTCCCTTTTATTCTATTGGCTTTTGAAAGCCAATAGAATAGACTCTCTTGAATAGAGTCTAAGTCTATTGGCTTTCAAAAGCCAACAGGAATTGTCCAGGCTGTCTCTGCCCTGCTGAGCCCGCCAAAAGTCCCATTCTGCAAACGGTGCTGCCCCAGTTGAGTAGTCCTCGACTTACGACCGGTTGAGTAGTCCTCGACTTACGACCGGTTGGGGGGTCGCGGCATTAAAAAGGTTGAGAACCACTGACCTACGGGATCCACAGCATGTCCTTTCCGCCAGAACGATCGATGGCTCAGATTGGGGGGGGGGCAAGGTCTGCTGTGGCTCGGGGGTTGTGAGCTCCAGCTGTGGCTCGGCTGTCCTTGCAGAGGACTCCGAGGTCCGGGAGTCGGCGAACTCGGTCGAGAGAGCAACGGAGGCCGACTCCGCCGTCCACCGAGCCCCGGGGGAGCCCCGGCAGAACGACAGCCCCAAGGGCAAGAAGTACCCGCGCCTCTCTTGCCTGCGCCGTCGCCGCCGGGCCCAGAAGCTGGACGAGAGCGATCTGAGCGAGGGCTTCGATTCGGATTCCAGCCCGGAGTCCACCAAAGTGAGCGGCGCCTCGGATACCGGCTCCGAGAAGAGCGACGAGGAGGCCGAGGCGGCGTTCGACATGGAGACCGATTCCGACATGAACAGCCAGGAGTCCCGATCAGATCTGGAGGACATGGAGGAGGAGGAGGAGGTGGTGGCGGCGGCCGAGGCCGAAGGGGCCGGCCGGCCTGGGGGGGTCAAGAACGGGACCAGGGGAGCCCCGGATTCGGTGGCAGGCGAAGGGGGTCGTCTGGCGGACTCAAAGGACTCTGGCCTTGCCAAGACGGACCCTCCGGAGCCCGTGGCCAACGGGCCAGGCTCCTCGGTCAGCAGCGAGGCCAGCATCGCCAGCAACCTGCAGGCCATGTCCACGCAGCTCTTCCAGACCAAGCGATGCTTCCGGCTGGCCCCCACTTTCAGCAACGTCCTCCTCAAGCCGGGCTGTGGGCCGCCCGCCCCGAAGGAAGCGGCAGGAGATGGCAAGCTTTGCGTCAACGGGGACGTGGAGAGGTCCGCTGCACCTGAGCCAGGTGAGCTGCAGAGAGGTGCTGGTTGGGGAAGACAGGCGGAGGGGCAGGGAAGGGGAAGCAGGGTTTACCTGTGGGGCAGGAATCTGCAGGCTGAGGTCCGGTGCAAAGACAGCGTTGATTTCAGAACCGATTTCAATACGGTTTTGGTGCTTGCCTTGTGGTTTCCATGCATTGCTAGTCTCCCAAGTTGTGGGCAGGCGCTCCGCAGGAAAAAGGATCAAAGTCTTCGGCTCACGGTTGCGTTAATGGCTCCGGTCAGGCAGATAGAAGTAGCAGTTCATTTAGTGACCGTTCAAAGTTACAACGGCACTGGGAAAAAAAGGGACTTAGGACCGTTTTTTGCACTTAACGTCCGTTGCAGCATCCCCGCAGTCACGTGATCAAAATTCAAACGCTTGGCAATTGACTCACATTTATGACGGTTGCAGTACCTGGGGGGGGGGTTTCGCGTGATCCCCTTTTGCGACCTGACAAGCAGAATCAACGGGCAAGCCAGGTTCACTTAACAACCGTGTTGCTAACTTAACAACCGCAGCGATTCACGTCACAACGGGCAAAAAGCCGTCAAATGGGGGCAACACTCACGGAACAAGCGTCTCACTTAGCCACAGAAATGTTGGGCTCGGTTACGGCCGTGAGTCGAGGACTACCTGTATTTGGATTACGTAATGCTAATAACCCCTTGGCCGCCCTAATTGCCATTGAAGGGAGCTGCCTGCTCCTGTCCTGTTCTGCGCGTCTTTGCCCGTCACTCGGTCTTCCGGTTTCTTGAGTGTAACAGTCTTATTTCTTTGGTCCCAGACGACGTTTCCGAGTCGGAAGAAAGCATCTCCAGCAGCAGATCCTGTCGGAACGAGCGTTCTCTGCAAGAGAAGCTGGAAATCATAAGTGGACAAGGGCTGCTGCCGACGGTCAAGGTGTTCCTGGACTGGCTGAGAACCAACACCGACCTCATCATCATGTGTGCGCAGGTGAGCGAGTGGCTCTCAGGCCCCCCTTGTCTTCTCCTTTCTTCTGCCCCCCTTGGGTTCTCATGCTGGGTCGGTTCACAGGAATCACACACACACACACCCCTGCCTCCCAAAATCAGGAATGAACTTGGCTTGGTGGCAAAGGGTCAGGAAGCATGCAAAAGAGCAACTTGGCAGTGCTGATCTGCAAATTCGCACGGTTGGAGTGGCTGGCCTGCATCGGATACATCCTGAAGGAGAATCGGGTGCCTTTTGGGGTCAGGTCTCCAGGCCGCGTGACTAAACTCGGGGTGCATGGCAACACGCCTGCATTGTTGGCCGTTTGCAGCATCCCCCAGTCAGGTGGCCGTGTTTTGCGACGGCTTTGCTGAAAAACCAGCATTTGTGGCTTTCAGCAAAACCATGCCCGGAGGCAACCATCGGTCGGCTTAATGGCCTTGGCATTCGCTCAACAACTTGACACAAAAAAAGGTCGCAAAATTGGGTCAATCACATTACTGACCCGCTTTACAACTGTTAACCGTAGGCTCCCTTGCGGTGGTGTGTCAAGGACAGGGGTCTTCAAACTTGGCCCTTTTATGACTTGTGGAGTTCAACTCCCAGAATTCCTCAGCCAGCCGTGCTGGCTGAGGAATTCTGGGAGTTGGTCCACAAGTCATGAAGGGGCCTTAGTTGCTCCATGCTGGCTGAGGAATTCTGGGAGTTGAAGTCCTCAAGTCGTGAAGGGGTCATAGTTCCCCATGCTGGCTGAGGAATTCTGGGAGTTGAAGTCCACAAGTCATAAAAGAGCCAAGGTGGCCTACCCCTGTCTTAAGTCCTCCTGTTCTAAGCGGTGAGCCTCCTAGACCAGGAGTAGGCAACCTTGGCTCTTTTATGATTCGTGGTGGCTCAGGAATTCTGGGAGTTGAAGTCCACGAGGGCTGGCTGAGGAATTCTGGGAGCTGAAGTCCACAAGTCATAAAAGGGCCAAGTTTGAAGGCCCTTGGTCAAGGATAACTTGGACACTCTGCAGTCAAGCCGCACACTCAGTTGGAGTCTTCCTTGCTAGTTTGATGCTTTCCTAGTTTTCCACTGTTTTGATGAGCAAAGGCCCGGGTGTCTGACAGGATTGTCTGGCTTGTGTCTTCAGGTGTCCCGTTCCCACAGGTGAGAACGTGTTGGAGGAAAGCAAACTGGTCCCATCTCACCTGGGGCAGTTCCCAGGAGATCTTCTGTCGGATGGGCTGGTTTGCAGGACCAGCTCTGCGGAAGAAGCAGGAGCAAAATAGAATTGGGGGGGGGGTGTCACTCCGACCCTCTTTTTAACTAATCAGAGAGAATATCTGAAGCTCAGGGTTGAACCGGGGGTCCTTGGTGTTCTCTGAACTTGGTGGTTTTCTTGCAGACATTTCATGAGCAGACTAGGGAACATCATGTGTGCTTGAGCCGTGATCAGTGACGATCGGTACACTGATGATGTCGCCTTGTCGGGTCATGAAACGTCTGCAAGAAAACCTCAAAGCTTAGAGAGCATCAAGGACCCCACAGTCATCGTCGTCCTCCCCCTCCTCCCTGAAAACCCCATTCTCTTCCAATACTAATGAAGTTACTGTCATGTGTCTGACTAATGAAACCCTTCAAAGAACTTTCAGGCATGGTTTAACCTAAAAAGCCTTTATTAGTGTAGAGGAGTGTCAGCACGGCATGGAGAAATGCCAAGATCTGAATTTCCCTTCCTTTGCACACAACATCCCAGGCATTTCCCCTCTGCTATTTTGGGAGGAGATTCACATCTTCCAATTAACCTGGAGGGCAAAGATTCCCTTCCAGTGGGCTTTTCTCTCTTCTCTCAATCTCATCTGAATTAACTCTAAAAGTATCAGACAGTTCTGCATATTTTGTCAAAGCAAGAATATTCAATATTAGCAGCGTTGATAGTTACCTAATAGGGTAATGAAACATCTGCAAGAAAACCACCAAGCTCAGAGAGCATCAAGGACCCCACAGTCCTTTTCCTCTCCTCCTCTTCCTCCTCTTCCTCCTCCTCCTCCTCCTCCTCCTCCTCCTCCTCCTCCTCCTCCTCCTCCTCCCTTCTGCAACTCCCCCTCCCTTCTAGCACCAGTGATGTTCCCTAGCTGGGTCATGAAACGTCTACAAGAAAACCTCCAAGCTCAGAGAGCATCAAGGACTCCCCTTTCTTATATCACAGCTGATTTAAATCCCCCATTCCTTATTGTGTTTTCCTCTTTCTTTAAGGAGTATCTCTGGGTTAAAATCCACGTTATTTGGGCCCCGAAGGATCTCCCACTTTATTCTCCCAATAGTTTGATGCTTTGTCTTTGGAAGAAGCAAACCTCATGAAGCAGATACTTTTAATGCCCGAGTGAGACCTAAAGCTGGATATCCTCCAATATTCAAACACCCATTTGTGCTTGTTTCTCTCCTTGTAGAGTTCCCAGAGTTTATGGAATCGGCTTTCCGTCCTCCTGAACCTGCTTCCTTCAGCGGGAGACCTGCAAGAATCAGGTACCCTTTCAAGAAATTGTCTTTTCTTTCTTCATTTTCCCCCTCTCTGAATATGCATTGCCTGCGTGGTTCAGCGCTCACTATTTGCTTATGCGTCCCTTCAACTCAAACGGTCCAATTCTCCAAATTTGCTCATTAGCACGAGCAGGAAGTTTTGTCTTGTCGCTTCCTGCAGTGTACAGTGGGCGGTGTACAGATACAGCAGTGGCCAAAATTGTGGAAACCTTTTGGGAAAAGTATACAGCAGAAATGCCACCTTTGGTTAAGTGTCCACCCATTTTTCTTCCAATTTCTTCATCACTGTAGCCTTGTCCACTTAGTAATACTATTTTACATCGCTTTCTGGGCAACCGGTCAGCTCTTTGCATCACGACTTTAATTTTATTACATTTTACAAGCTCACTAAATGAAAAAACACCAAAAAACCTCAACCAACTTGATAGCGATCACATAACACACTGACAAACGTCCTCCTCTCAGCTTCAATACATAACATCGATAACTGGATCCTCCTGTGATCTGATTGGCTCATTGCCAAAACAAGTTGACACCCGATTTCTAAACACTTGTGCTCATTGGCTACAATCAGATGAAGAAAAGCTACCTGAGATCAACCTTAAGCACCTTGTGCTTCCTTTTTTCTGGTTATTTGGCTATAACTTTTCATAGAATACAGTACAGATAATTGAACAAACTATGTTGCATTACGTTCTTGATTAAATGATCTTTTCATGGATATATAATTTTATGATACTACTCCAAAAACAAAAGTGGTGTTATTAGCCATCAAACCTCAAAAATACACTTTTCCCAAAAGGTTTCCACAATTTTGGCCTCTCCTGTAGACATTAAAAAAGATATACTTACGACCACAGTTGTCCCTAAAATTTATGTTGCTAAAGCGAGACAGTTATTAAAGTGAATTTTGCCCCACTTTACGACCTTTCTTGCCACCGTTGTTAAGTGAATCACTGCAGTTGTTAAATTACTAACAGGGTTGTTAAATTAATCCGGCTTCTTCCCCATTGACTTTGCTTGCCAGAAAAGGGGGTCACATGATCCTGGGACACTGGAACCGTCCTAAATATGAGTCAGTTGCCGAGCGTCCAGATTTTGATTTTGTGCCCCTGGGGATGCTGCAAGGGTCGTTAAGTGTGGAAGACGGTCATAATTCACTTTTTTCCGTGCTGGGTGTAACTTTGAAGGGGTCGCTAAATGAGCAGTTGTCAGTCGAGGACTCTCTGTATATAAGCATTATTCTAATAAAATAGTTAAAAACAAGAATAAAACGATTAAAGTTCAGAATTAGAAATGGCCCCGGAGGGGCTTCAGGGCTTTCTTCCCTCTTGGTGACTGTCTCCCTTCTTCCTCCCGGTGCTGCAGCGTTGTTTCTCTCCAGCGAAGTGAAGAGCATGTTGCCGGGTTGCGAACTTCCCGACCTGAGTACCTGCTCGCTCCTCCCAGAAGATGTGGCCCTCCGCAACCTGCCCCCCTTGAAGGGCGCGCACAAGAGGTTTAACTTCGAGCAGGACCGGCCCGCCCTTACCGAAGTGGAGGAGGTGATGGAGATTCCTTTTTTAAAAAAAAACAAAAACAAAACAAACCCTAAAAGTTAGATTTGGGTTGAGGACTACAATCGCAATAGCACTTAGACCAGCGGTTCTCAAACTTTTTAATGCCGCGACCCCCCAACCGGTCATAAGTTGAGGACTACTCAACTGGTCGTAAGTCGAGGACTACTCAACTGGTGCAGCACCGTTTGCAGAATGGGACTTTTGGCAGGCTCAGCAGGGCAGAGACAGCCTGGACAATTCCTATTGGCTTTTGAAAGCCAATAAAATTAGGTTCTATTCAAGAGAGTCTCTTCTATTGGCTTTCCAAAGCCAATAGAATAAAAGGGAGGAGCACAGCTAAGGAAAAGGGGGAAAAAATGGCGGACTGCGTTGTTTGGTGACCCCCATGAAATGGTCGTTCGACCCCAAATGGGGTCCCGACCCACAGGTGGAGAACCACTGAATTAAGTGCTTGCGTATTGTTTAGGACAGTGGTCCCCAACCTTTTGGGCACCAGGGACCTGTTCCTTGGAGAGAGGTTTTCCATGGACCAGGAGGGCTGTGCTTTCGTGTGCTGCCTGCATCCCGCAGATGGGACTTTGCTTGTTTGCGCGGCCCATTTTGTGGCATACCACGGACCAATGCCAGTCCACACACTGGGAGGTTGAGGACCCCTGGTTTAGGAAACAGGCTCTCCATACCAATAGCTGACTTTGGCTGGCTGAAGCTTCTCAAGAGGCTCAGCTGAGATTCCATTCTTCCTTCGGTGCAATCTTTCCCCCCCCCCTCCCCTTGCTAATGTCAGGCCGTCAGCTCATGAAGCTTGGGTAGGAGAGAGGCAGCCCTGACTGGATGTTTCTCAAACTAGACTCCCTTTGCGAGGCAGATCTTGTTCGCCTTCTTTGAGAGCTCCTCTGCCAGCTAATTGCAGGGGGCAGTTTGAGCTCTGGCTGGGCTGAGCCGGTTACGCACTCCATCCAATGAGCCGAGGTGGCACAGCAGTTAGAGTCCAGTACTGCAGGCCACTTTAGCTGACTGTGTTCAGCAGGCCAGCGGTTCAAATCTCACCGGCTCAAGGTTGACTCAGCCTTCCATCCTTCCGGGGTAGGTCAAATGAGGACCCAGATTGTTGGGGGCAATGTAAATATATATATATATATATATAATATATATATATATATACATTGCTTACTGGTGTACACCGCTTAGAGCAGTGGTTCTCAACCTTTCTAATGCCGCGACCCCATAATACAGTTCCCCATGTTGTGGTGACCCCCAACCACTTATACATCACCGGGTGCCAGGGGCGTGGCCAAAGAAAAGGGGGAAAAAATGGTGGACAGCCTTGTTTGGCGACCCCCGTGAAATGGTCGTTCGACCCCGAATGGGGTCCCGACCCACAGGTTGAGAACCACTGAGAGTGCTTGCACTTAAAGCGGTATATAAGTCTCATAAATAAATAAATAAATCCATCCATCCATCCTCTTCCCAGCTATTTCAGTAGCCTTCTCCTTGGCTGATCTCCCCCTGGTTCTGCCCTAAAGATGCCCTCTCTCCTCTCCCCACAGTCCGTGGTTCGCATCTGTTGCATTCGAAGCTTCGGCCATTTCATCACCCGTTTGCAAGGCAGCATCCTGCAGTACAACTCCGAGGTGGGGATCTTCATCAGCATCGCGCAATCGGAGCAGGACGGCCTCCTGCAGCAGGCCCAGGCGCAGTTCCGCATGGTGAGCCCGGAGGGGAAACCAAGGCTGGGTTGGGTGCTGATGGTGGGGCAGGCAAAGAACTAGCGGACCGGCGCTCCGTCTGCCACGTCACTAGTCCCAGCCATTTGGTGGTCGTCTTCTTCACTTCCTCTTTTACCGCTTCGGGTGTCGAGGGAGACGGTTGGCTCCTTTTACGATGTCTTCTCTGGAAAATCAGTTGATTTGTAAAAGGAGGCCTCTCTCGGCGTTGGTGAAAAGCTTGGACACACTGAGGTGTTTGGTGACATTGAGAGGGGTGAGGGGAGAGTTTTGTATGTAAATTTTGTGTGGTCAGCGTGATTGGAAAAAAAAAACTACGTTATCTGGTATCTGTCATAGAATTAAGCATTATGCAAATTCACTCTTCACAATTGGGTTTTTTGGAAGCTGCATCCTAAAGGTATTGTCCTAGAGCAGTGGTGGCGAACCGATGGCACGGGTGCCAGAGGTGGCACTCAGAGCCCCCTCTGGGGGCACGTGCGCCATCGCCCCAGTCCTAGGTCTTCAGCTGGGTTTTATAAAACCTTTTTGCTTTAGGCCTCCGCTGCCATGTGCAAAAAAAAAAAAAAAAAGTTCAATCAATCAGTCAGTTTCAACTTCTCGCGGGGAAAAAAAAGATCTCGCAAAGTTGGAATTGATTGATTGAACTTTTTAGTCCCACCCAGTCTGCCGTTACCACCGCAGCCACGCCCACCCAATGGGCAACACCCACCCAATGGGCAACACCCACCCAATGGGCCACACCCACCCGGCACCCGACGATGCATAAGTGGGTTTTGGGTTGCAGTTTGGGCCCTCAGTCTCTAAAAGGTTCGCCATCACTGGCCTAGAGGGAACCACTAGACCGCATCTGGGAAACGGAGTTGTCGTAGCTCGAAAAGCAGGCTGACGCGGTGTGCCCTGTCTCCCTCCCCTAGGCTGCCGAGGAAGCCCGCCGGAACAGGCTGATGCGTGACATGGCTCAGCTTCGGCTGCAGGTACAGGGGGGGTGGGCCGAGTGGGGAGGAAGGATGGACCGGTTGGGGCTGCTATGGATCTGTTTGACTTGGAACCCTGCTCCAATCAGATCCATCCTTCTGGGCAAGGAAAGAACCTGCCTTGCCCAATCATTTATTTCGTTCATTTGATTTGACTTGACTTATAAGGCTATCCATCTTGTGAAACATGTCCGCCTGGCCAATGCAATTAAATAACAATAGCGCTTAGACTTATATACCGCCCCATTTACAGCATTCTCTGGGTGGTTTTACAGAGTCAGCATGTCGCCCCCAAACAATCTGGCTCCTCCTTTTATCAACCTCCGAAGGCCGACTCTCAATCTTGAGCTGATCGGGATTGAACTCCTGGCTTTGGGCAGAGTTAGCCCGCAATACTGCATTCTAACCACGGCGCCACCATGGCTCATACATCAGTGTAACAAACCCCAGGGGAAAAAGTAAGACGCACGTGGCAAAACGGAGAGGCAAAGAACACATGCCTTGCACTAAATATGAGCCGAGGTGACGCAGCAGTTAGAGTGCAGTACTGCAGGCCGCTTTAGCTGACTGTGTTCAGCAGGTCAGCGGTTCAAATCTCACCGGCTCAAGGTTGACTAAGCCTTCCATCCTTCCGGGGTAGGTCAAATGAGGACCCAGATTGTTGGGGGCAATGTAAATATATATATACATTGCTTACTGGTGTACACCGCTTAGAGAGTGCTTGCACTTAAAGCGGTATATAAGTCTCATAAATAAATTGCAGTATTCTACAACTCCCATTCATTGCAACCTGCATGTATTGCTTGGTTAATTCTGGGTGAGGAATTGTGGTCAATTTCCGCCTTTGTCACTGGCTCTTCACACACTGAGCTGCAAGCAGCCCCTTTAGAGGTGATGTTTCTCCTCGGAGCATCTTCCCTCCATTGTTTCCATTTCTCCCACCCTCCCCAAACAGCTGGAGGTGTCCCAGTTGGAAGGAAGTCTCCAGCAGCCCAAGGCTCAGTGCGTGATGTCCCCGTATCTGGTCCCAGACACCCAAGCCCTCTGCCAGCATCTCAGCCCCATCAGGCAGCTGGCCGCCAGCGGGAGATTCATCGTCATCATCCCACGGACAGGTAAGCCTGATGCTGGTAGAGCTGAAGCAGAAGGAACCCCAACCAGCCCCTTCCTAGCAGATTTGTCCAAGTGAAGTTCTCTGTACCTAAAGTTCTCTGTACCTGTCTGCAAGGGAACAGGAAGATGTCTGGGAATGCTGGGCCAGGACAGGCGTGGCTTTAGGAAGGTTTGTGACACACACACACACACCCCACGCACTGTGGAGGTTGCAGGGGGGAGGTGGGCAGTGTGCTCTATGGCCTACCACCTATTGTTGTCAAAGGGGAAGTAACCAAAGAATGTTTTGCTCTTGTTTTCTGCTTTTAGTCATTGATGGCTTAGATTTCCTGAAGAAGGACAACGCAGGCGCTCGTGACAGCATCCGATACTTAGAAGCAGAATTTAAAAAGGGAAACAGGTAGGTAGTCCTGTCCCTGTCCCGCTCTTTCCTCCACATATTCATCAGGAGAAGAGGGGAGGGGGGAAGCATTCCAGATGTGAAATTACAGACCCGCTTAAGCATTTTGGATGAACGACATTCCTACAGAAGAAAACTCAAAAAAGAAATTTAAAACAAGCTACTTGCCTTCAGAAATCGTGGGCGCTCCATCACTGGAGGTTTTTTAGAAGAGACTGGACAGCCACTTGTCTGAGATGGTATAGGTTCTGCTGCTTGAGCGGGGGGCTGGACTACAAGACCTCCAAGGTCCCTTCCAGCTTCTCTTCTCTTCCCTTCCCTTCCCTTCCATTCTATTAATTCTAATTATATTCTTATTCTTTTATTCTATTCTATTCATTCCATTCCATTCATTCTAATTATATTCCCATTCTTCTATTCTATTCCATTCCGTTCCATTCATTCTAATTATATTCCCATTCTTCTATTCTGTTCTGTTCCATTCCGTTCCATTCTGTTCTATTCTAATTATATTCCCATTCTTCTATTCTGTTCTGTTCCATTCCGTTCCATTCTGTTCTATTCTAATTATATTCCCATTCTTCTATTCTATTCTATTATATTCCATTCCATTCCATTCCATTCATTCTAATTATATTCCCATTATTCTATTCTATTCTGTTCCATTCTGTTCTATTAATTCTAATTATATTCCCATTCTTCTATTCTGTTCTTTTCTATTCTAGTCTATTCCATTCTATTCCATTCCATTCTTTCCATATTTTTCATTGATTGGAAGATAGTTTTTGCTAAGGGATATTCCTTAACTATTGAGGTAGTCCTCAACTTACAACAGTTGATTTAATGACCATTCAAAGTTACATCGGCTTGAAAAAAGAGACCCATGACCATTTTTCACACAACCATTGCAGCATCCCCCGTGGTCACGTGATCAAAATTCGGGAGCTTAGCAACTGACTCATATTTATGACGGTCGCAGTGTCCCCAGGGGTCACGTGATCCCCTTTTGCTGACCTTCCGACAAGCAAAGTCAGTGGGGGAAAAAACCAGATTTCACTTATCAGCCGTGTGACTAACATAACAGCTGCAATGATTCACTTAACAACTGTGGCAAGAAAGGTCTTAAGGTGGGACAAAATACACTTAACCGTCTCGCTTAGCAATGGAAATTTTGGCCTCAGTTGTGGTCAAGGACTACCTATGCAGGAGAGAAGGGCCATGGGAACGAGATTTTGAAAAAAGACATTCTAAAAGCTGGAAGCAGCCGTTTAACTGTGATAATTTAAAAAAAAAATGTGTAGAAAAACCATCCTTTGGGCTGATGTTTCTCCAAAAGCTCTCCATCCTCAATTTAAGGCCAGCTGCTGCATCTGTGGTAGCTAGTTTGTTCTTCCTTCTATTTAACCTCAGTGAGCCCATTATTTTTCCCACTGTTCTCCTTGACCTTCGTTGCTAGAGCTTGCACTTCATTTGCATCTTCGGCTATCAATATCATCACTACTTAGTAATTTTGTGGTTCTCTCCTGTGATCTTCTCTCCAGGTACATTCGCTGTCAGAAAGAAGCCGGGAAAAGTTTTGAGAGGCATAAACTGAAGAGACAAGATTTAGATGCTTGGTGAGCGTGAAGGCTTGATCCCTTAGCTTAGGGGTCCCCAGCCCCCGGACTACAGCCCATCACCGGGCTGTGGCTTGTTTGGAACTGGACTGCCTGAGTGACTGCCAGCCAGCGCACCAGTGCACGTGCGTGGCTCAATTTGCGCGGGGCGGTTCCCCTCTCTCCCCTCTGCCCACCATAAAGTTTTGAGGCCTTAGCTCAGTGGTTCTCAACCTTTTTAATGCCACGACCCCCCCCCAAACTGGTCATAAGTCGAGGACTACTCAACCGGTCGTAAGTCGAGGACTACTCAACTGGTGCAGCGCCGTTTGCAGAATGGGACTTTGGGCGGGCTCAGCAGGGCAGAGACAGCCTGGACAATTCCTATTGGCTTTGGAAAGCCAATAGAACTAGACTCTATTCAAGAGAGTCTATTCTATTGGCTTTCAAAAGCCAATAGAATAAAAGGGAGGAGCACAGCTAAGGAAAAGGGGGAAAAAATGGCAGACTGCATTGTTTGGCGACCCCCGTGAAATGGTCGTTCGACCCCAAATGGGGTCCCGACCCACAGGTTGAGAACCACTGCCTTAGCTGGATCTTTCTTGACTCCATACCTCCCTGATCTTAGTCACTCGTCTCCACTATTCGGAGCCTGATTTGCGTGAGACCCAGCTCCTTGCAACTTCTTTTTTTTTTTAAAAAAAAAGGAGAAACCCAAGAGTCAAGAATTTCAGATGTGGATAGTTTTTTGCAGCTGGGTGGAGGGAATGTGGGGGCGCCTTGACTTCAAACCGGAGAGCAAGCATTTTGCAATCTGGCGTCTCTCGGGAGTAACGGCCTTCCACTCTGAGAAGTGTGACGGAAGGAAGGAAAGGAAGTTTGAAAAACCTCCCAAGGAAAAATGAAGAGTTCTGTCTTCTTAAGATGCAAAGCGCGGTGGGTCCTTACATTAGACAGGACTTGGGGTCCAAGCTCTCCCTTTCAAGGTTTTAAGGGGTTCCCCAGTAGCCCCACCCAATCACCCCCTTCTCCCAGCGACAGTCTCAGGCATTACACTCCCACCCCCTTTTCCCTCACTGCTGGTGGAAGGGAGACTTCAGAGGGGAGTAGATGAAAGATAATAGCCCCATTGTTATGGTTAGTCCTTTTGGTGATATTCGACATCCAGTCCCTTTGAAATGTACTGAAGGAAGTGGGAGCCATAAAGCCCCTTTGCTCACCCCCTTTTCCTCAAGGCCGGCAGAAGGGAGACTTCAGAGGGTAGTAGATGAAAGGCGATGGCCATATTGTTACGGTCAGTCCTCTTGGTGACATCCACATTCAGCCCCTTTGAAGTTTTAACGAAGGAAGTGAGAGCCATAAAACCCCTTTGCTCACCCCCCTTCCCCTTCGTAGTATGACAGAATCCAGAGAGGGCAGAAATGGGGTTTTCTATAGTCGATAACTAGAAATGAAATATAATTGGATTCTGACAGACCCCCCAAATATTTGCTTGCTTTATTTAAGGGGGGGGGGAGAGAAGAGGTTGTCCCTGACGGTGGTTCTTACCTTCAGCCGCTTTCAGAAGGGTAGACTGAGACTTGTAGCTTCACAAGAATTCAGTAGCGGGATTGGCAAAAAGACAGAGGCCTGTACTCGGCGTGCCTTTGCCCACAGATTTTCCCAACCTGGTGTCTTTCCTCCTCCCTTCCTAGGAACCTCTATAAGATCCTGGACAGCTGTAAGCAGCTGACGGCTTCTCAGGGGAGCAGCGAAGACGACACGGCTGGCATGGTGACCGTCATCACCGGATTCCAACTCCAGGAGCCCAGCAAACTTTCTGCTCCCATGCAGGTAGCTGTGAGTTGGGAGACCACCAGCTCCGTCACCCTTCTTTGTTTTTAAGCCCTAAGCCAGGGGTCCCCAACCCCCGGGCCGTGGACTGGTACCGGGCCGTGCCATTCCAGCAACCGGTCCGCACAAACAAGCAAAGCCCCTCGGGATGCAGGCAGCGCACAAAACCACGCCCCCCCCCCCGGTCCGCGGAAAAACCTCTCTCCTTTCTCTCCTCTCCTCCACAGTCCGCCATCCAAGCAGCGGCCAGCGCCAGCATTGAGATCCAGAACGTGCTGGAGTTCTACAAGCACTGGAAAGAGATGGGCTGAGCCCCCCCGCAGGACCACCGGGTTGGTTGAAGCTCCGTCTGCCCGTCTCTGGACGCACCGCTTTGGAACGAAAGATGTCAAACCGCAGGCGATAACTTGGACACGACGCCACCGCCGCTGCCTCCGCGGCGGCAACCCACCCAAACGAGCAAACCGGGCGTGTGCGCCAAACGCGCATGCGCGCGCACCCACCCACCGCCACTGCCCCTCCATCACCTCCCCTCCCGCAGAGGAGGTGGCGCGCGTGGGGACGTCGCAGCCCCTCAGGGGGAAGAGAGGCACACCTTGGCCGCGCCCAGGAGAGGCCGCGGCGGGCGGGCGGGGGCTCCGTCCTCAACGCTCGCTCGGCTTCTCCTCGTCAGAAAAGGCGCGGGCGGCTCGGCTCCCGCGCTTCACCATGAAACCAAACGGAAATTCACTCGGTTTTGGCGGGGAGTGATGAGGATCGCCAGAGGGAGGCGCTCTTGGAAACCGGTGGTGGGGAAAGGGGCGCGGTCTCTCCTTCGTTTCTAATTTAATGTTCCTTTTTTCCCCCCCTCCTCCGTCACTGTGTTTCTTGGGCGAACTTGCCCATTTTGGGGGGAAGGGGGGGGGCTCGTTTCGGGCAAGACGGGCGCCAGTCGGACTTTGAAATCTTGGAACGACGGCCAGGGTGGCAAGGGGACTGGGGACGTTTTAGGACAGGAACTATTTATTTCCTGGCCCGGCTTCTTCTTTCTCCATCTTTGTCTCCCCCCCCCCCCCAAACCCATAATTTCCTTTTCCTCTAAGCTGTCCCAACCAGGCCTTCCTTCTCTGCAGCCTTTGCATGCTGTCTGCCCCCCCCCCCTGACACTTTCCTGGATGCAGGGGAGGGGGGGCAATCCCTGCGAAGAGAAAAACGCCAGCCAGCCTTTGCGGCACCGTGCCCTGCTTGTCCCGTCCCTTGGTGTCACTTCCTGGAGAAAGAAAAAGCTAGAAAGGGGGGGGGGGAACAAAACACCCATGCTAATTTTTTTTTTAACCGGGGTCTGACTCTGACGAACGCTTCTTGCCCTGGTTTACGACCCGCGTTTCCCTTGAGAAGGCGAGAAGCAGGAGAGAATAAAGGGGTGGCAACTGCCCCACTAGGTGACCGGAGCAACAGGTGTTTGGCCAGCCGTCCCTTCACCCTTCTTGGAGGCTGGGCTAGCCCGATCGAGCATCTTCTTTATCGCTCTGAATCCCACCAGAGACGTTGTCCTCGTGTTTCTTGCGCTTCGCTTATTCTGACAGCCGGGAAGAAAGGGGCGTTGGCGGGCCCGGAAATCCATTTTTCCTAGCCTTCCCTGAGAGGGAGCCGCGAGGCCTGGCTCTGCCTTGCCTGGACGTGGAAAGGAAGCGTGGGACGTCCAGCAGCCACGTGGACGTCCGCCTCCCTCAGCCTGGCATCCCTCTCCCTGTTTCGTTGGACGGCAGAGAAAATGCCTTTGCTTTGATCTCATCCTCCACCTGCACTGCAGCTTTGGTGACCAGACATCGCAGCCTTTGGCTGCTTCTCTCTCCCTCTCTTCTTCCTCTTTCCTTCCTTCCTTCCTTCCTTCCTTCTCTCTCTCTCTCTCTCTCTTTCCTTCCTTCCTCTCTCCCTCTCTCCTTCCTTCCTCCTCTCTCTTTCCTTCCTCCTCTCTCTTTCTCTCCTTCCTTCCTTCTCTCTTTCCTTCCTTTCTCTCTCTTCCTCTCCCTCTCTCTCCTTCCTCTCTCTTTTTGTCTGTTTCTTCCCCCTGCTGCCCCCCCTCCAAGATCCACCCTGGAGAAGGCAGCTCTTCCCATCTCCTTCCCTTTTGGAGTGGTGGGCAGATCAGGAGCAGGTTGGCTCTAGGAGGCCCCCCCCCCCCGACCCCCGGCTTGCTGTCGCAGAAGCGGTGCCCGGGAAAAAAAGGGGTTCTGCGGAAGGGTCCTCTCCTGTTAAGGCTGTTCCTGCTTTTGACTCCTGGCAATGGAATTGACCCTCCCACCCCCCAGGAAGGGATCAAGGGGAGATGCCCCTCCACCTGCAGGGAGACCCCGAGGGAGGCTGGGTTGTGGGGGGTCTGAGCACATTTGGCTTGTAAGACATCTGCAGGAGAGCAAACTCGGCAACGGTCGACATCCGTGGGGTGATCAGCACACTGTTGGCTGGCATTGATTTAATTTGGGACTCTGTTTTTTGGGGGGTGGGATGGGGTGGGGTGGGTCGAAGCTCATTCAGAAGGGACATTTTTAAAATAGAGCGTAAAGAGTCTCCGCCCCGGCAAACGAGGCTGACGGTCTCGTCGGGGGGCTTCTCTTCAAGTGGTTGTGGGAGGGACAAGGGGGTGCATCGGTCTGAGCCATGGCTGGCCTATCTGTTGGACAATGTCAGAGCATTTTTTTTTTAATTTTTATCGTTTTTGGAGCAAGGGGAATTGCATTGCCATAATAAACATTTGTGAAATCAGAGTCCTCTTTTGTCCTTTGAAGGGGAAGTTGATAATGGGGGGGGGGTGTTTGTTTCAAGAGTTTTGTTCCTTCAGACTCACCTGGACAGGTATAGAAGGAGCACCTGCTGGGCTCCAGGGGGTGGGGCCTGCCCAGCCTGCTTCCTGGTCGGTGGAGAAGCTTCTTTTCCGGTGGAGCAAAATGAATCCCACGCTGCGCTGGTGGGGCGGGGAAGACTTGCCAAAAAGAACCTGCCAGCTATTGTTCAGGGATCCACGGAGCTTTTGAGCAACCCCTTTTGTGGCTTTATGGGTTTAGGAAATGCAAAGTTAATATTAACCCACCTGTGGGCTCCTTGGTGCTCTCTTGAGTTTGGTGGTTTTCTCGCAGACATTTCATAACCAAACTAGGTGACAACATCAGTGTTAGCGCTGGGGGTGAGAGCACTGATGTTACCTATTTGGGTAATGAAACACCTGCGAGAAAACCACCCGACTCAGCACCAAGCACCCCACAGTCCGACTCTGAGCTACAAATATTCTGTCAATCAATCCGTCTTTTTCTTTGAAACGCGAGGGGAGGCATTCAGCTTCATTGGGAAGTCTCGGTCTTCCCTGTGGCTCGGTTGAACGTGGCTCCTTTTAGCCGTTCCTCTTGGTACTATCCGGCCTTTTCCTGTTCCTATTTTTATTGGTTTATCAAAATAGGAAACACAGAAATGAAAATAATGGGGGAATAGTGGAGGAAAGGGGGAAGAGGAAAAAACATAAGAAAAAAAGCATTGACTTCCGACTCCTTTTGGTGCAGTGGAATAAGGTAATAACATGCAAGCTCAACCTTTTATTTTTCTGCCATATTCCTATAGTTTGCAACGTTTTCTGGAAATCCATTCATACTCCTGCACCATTCGAAGGGTGCTCATCCCAAAGTGCATAGCTAAAGATCTGTGGAAATTCTCATTCATCCTGCAGAAAAAACATCCTGCAGCCAGAAAGCTCCACACCCTTTTGCACCACTCAGGTGACCTTGAGGGCACAGGTAAACCTCCAAATGGCCTCAACGGCTCTCTAAAAGAAAGCAAATGACCAGCTGTCTGCAAGGAGTATAAATCCTCCCATGCCCCACCATCCAGTCAAAGCTGAAGAAGTTTCTTGGAGGAGAAGCAAAGCATCTTCAAAGGAAAACAAACAACTGGTCATTTGCCTTTTAGAGAGCCGTTGAGGCCACTTGAAGATTTATCTGTGTCCTCAAGGTCATCTAAATGTGCAAATGGATGAGAAGCCTTCTTGGAATTGCTGAAAGGACTGTTCCACTCCCATTTTTGCACTACTCAAATGACCCTGAAGACACACAAACCTCCAAGTGGCCTCAACGGCTCTCTAAAAGGATGCAAATGACCAGCTGTCTGCAAGGAGTATAAATCCTCCCATTCCCCACCATCTGGTCAGAACTGAAGAAGTCTCTTGGATGAGAAGCGAAATGTCTTCAAAGCAAAACAAGAAAGTCCAGTTGCCTCCTGAAAAAGCATCTTTGGGACCCCCAAAGATATGGGACTACAATGCCCATTGCCCTAATCAACATGGCCAGTGAAAGTTACTAGGTTCCGTGGAGTTGACCAAGCCAATACCTGGAAGTGGTGTGGTGGTGGTGTTGAATAATGTTTTGGTGCTTCCTCCGTAAATGAAGGAAATAGCTGACCTTGGCTGAGCTCAAAAAACTAGACCAACGCAAACTTGATTAGATCCAAGAAGATGATAAGGGCTCACCACTTCAGTTAGCTGCCAAGAAAGCAATAGGATAACATTCCAGCAGGAGAACTGGGAATATGCTCATTTTGGCTCAGTCGTGACCAGTTTTGCTCCATGCTTTAAAGAAGCATTTCTCAAGGTTGGCAACTTTTTAAGATGCCTGGATTCCAACTTCCAGGAATTCTGGGAGCTGAAGTTCATACAGCTTAATGCACGCTAGCTGGGGAATGCCTGGAGTTGAAGTCCACCCATCTGAAGACTGCTGAGATTGGGAAACGTTGCTTTGAAAAGGAGCAACAGATGGCAATTCCTCCAGGAGAGAACCAACCTAGTACTAAGGAGAAAATTTGTGACAGAACAATTAACCAGAAGAAAAGCTTGCTTCCAGAAGCTGTGGGTGGCTCCATCACAGGAGGCTTTCAAGAAGAGATTGGACAGCCATTTGTCTGAAATAGTATAGGGCACAGGTCAGCAACCCACAGCTCCAGAGCCACATGTTGCTCTTTGAGCCTTCTCCTGCGGCTCCCAGCATCCTCTGCCATTTGCAAAGAGAGAGAGACAAAGAGAGGCACTTGCACTTCCCCCCCCCTCTCTGTAAAAAAGACAGTGGCCTCACACTGTTCTCAGACAAGCTGACAAGCTTATTGGGCAGGGCTCCTGCCTTTGCTGTGTCTCAGCAGGAAGCGCGCACAGGTTTTGCGACTCCCAGTGTTTTCTTTTCTCTGGGAAATGGGTCCAAGTGGCTCTTTGAGTGTTTAAGGTTGCTGACCCCTGGTATAGGGTCTCCTGCTTGATCAGGAGCTTGGACTAGAAGACCTTCACGGTCCCTTCCAATTCTGTTATTCTGAAAACAGCCCTTTTGTGACCGCCATCTCTGATGAAAAGCCGTTTTGAAAGAGAGAAGTGAAGCAGGTTTAAAGTCTTGCTCAACTGCCAAACCCAGAGGCCAGGACAGTTTCCTTCTATCCTAGACCTATCCTAGCCCCCAGGAGGCCACCTTGTTGGCTGGAGCCTTTGTTTCCAAGAAAACAACGGGTTGGGTCCACTGGCGTCTGGGGAGTTAAGTGGTTCTCTTACAGGGAGGGCCCTGGGTGGCCCTCTTCTCCTAAGACAAATTAAAATGCACAGCATCAGCACCTTGATGAGGTCTTTCCCCTTTCTCTTTTAAGCCCAGTGAAGGTTGGGATGGCAGCCACAGAAACTTGCTTTGCATCTATCTGCCTTTCTCTGCTCTGCTGCTCCAGCAGCCAAAAAGGGCCACCGTGTCCTTCAATGACCCCATTGCATTCTACTGTCTTTCCAGGCAACGGAGCTGATTCCTCCCAACAGAAGTTCTTTCTTTCTTTCTTTCTTTCTTTCTTTCTTTCTTTCTTTCTTTCTTTCTTTCTTTCTTTCTTTCTTTCTTTCTGTCTTTCTCTCTCTCTCTCTCTCCTCTCTTTTTTCTTTCCTCTTTTTCTCTTTTTCTTTTTCTTTCTCTCCTTTCTTTTTTCTCTTTTCTTTTCTCTTTCTCTTTTTCTTTCTTTCTTTCTCTCCTTCCTTCCTTTCTTTTTCTCTCTTTCTCTTTTCTTTCTTTTTTCTCTTTTTTCTTTCTTCTTTTTCTTTTTCTTTCTCTCCTTTCTTTTTTCTCTTTTCTTTTCTCTTTCTCTTTTTCTTTCTTTCTCTCCTTCCTTCCTTTCTTTTTCTCTCTTTCTCTTCTCTTTCTTTTTTCTCTTTTTCTTTCTTCTTTTTCTTTCTCTCCTTTCTTTTTTCTCTCTCTTTTCTTTCCTCTTCTCTTTCTCTTTTTCTTTCACTTTCTCTCCTTCCTTCCTTCCTTTCTTTCTTCCTTTTTCTCTCTTTCTCTTTTCTTTATTTTTTCTCTCTTTTTTCTTTCTTCTTCAAAAGCCAATAGAATAAAAGGGAGGAGCACAGCTAAGGAAAAGGGGGGAAAAAATGGCGGACTGCGTTGTTTGGAGACCCCTGTGAAATGGTCGTTCGACCCCAAATGGGGTCCCGACCCACAGGTGGAGAACCACTGGTTCAGATGATGCAGCAGGCCTGCGAACAAAGTGAAACTGAATCCAGGTTTAAACAACAATATCTGGTCGCATGTCTGGATTCCAACGTCAGTGTGGCCCAACTGAAACAAAGTCCTTGACGTACGACTGAAATCGAGCCCAAAATTTATGTTGCTAAGTGAGTCGTGTCTTAAGTGAGTTTTACCCCATTTTATGCCTTTTCCTGCCACAGTTGTTAAGCGAATCACTGCAGTTGTTAAGCTCGTCACACGGCGGTTAAGCGAATCCTACTTTCCCGTTGACTTTGCTTGCCCAGAAGGTCGCAGAAGGGGATCACGTGACCCCCCCCGGGACACTGCGACCGTCATACATACGAGTCGGTGGCCAAGCGTCTGAATTTGGATCACTTGACCGTGCGGGGGGGGGAATGCCACAATGGTCCTAAGTGTGAAAAACGGTCCTAAATCATTTTTTTTCAGTGCTGTTGTAACTTTGAACGGTTACTAAATGAACCGTTGTAAGTCAGGGACTGCCTGTATTTGAGGAAAGGACACACATACACACTCTCTCTCTCTAAAGGAGCAGCCTGTACAAAATGTTATCATCCTTGTGGTCAGCATCGCTGGGGCGGCTCTTTGCGCCTCCCCCCCCCCTCTCCTGGCTGTGCCTGGATCTCACTTGCCCTGTCCTAAACCTGCACAATTTTGCTTTTCTTTTGTTGGTCTTTGTGGGGGGGGGGGGAAGGAAGAAAGAAGCTGGTGGAGTTTCAATGCGTTTCTTTATTGCTTCCTCGGCTTTGGGGTTGTGGCTCTTGCGACAACAGGCGCTTTTCTATTCCCATTGGCCGGTGGGGAGGGCATCTTGGCAGGCGTCCATCAAGGCTGGCAAGGAAACCAAGCTGGAAGGAAGGAAGGAGGGGAACCAACACAGACAGTCAAGGAACTTGCAGCAATCCGGAAGGCCACGGGGCACCAATGAGAGGGAAGCAGTTTTGCTGGGGGGCTGATACGGCTCCCCCCAGTAAGTCCCATCCTCTCTGCAGAAGGTATGGATTGGCTCTTTAGGAGTTGCTTCCACTCTTCCAAGAAGGGGTGGCTTGTCTTCCTTCCTTCCTTCCTTCCTTCCTTCCTTCCTTCCTTCCTTCCTTCCTTCCTTCCTCCCTCCCTCCCTCCCTCCCTCCCTTCCTTCCTTCCTTCCTTCCTTTTAAAAAAAAAGAATTCCAAGCTTTCTGAACTTGCTGATCAAAGTATTTCAGGGCAGCGTGCTACGTTTCTAACATCCATCAGATGCCTTCAGGATTGGAGATCTGGATCTTCCCCAGTTGAAATGGGCTGCAATTTTAGGTGCTGCAGCCAAACGGGGGTGGGAGGGGGGTGGGTGGGGGGAACCAGGCTGCCTCTTTGCATCTTTTCCTTAAACAAAAACCTTCGTTGCTGCACCTCTCAAAATAAACGTTTGCTTTCTTAGCCTTTCGTGTAGGGAAGTGTTTTAGAAGAGAGACACAAAATTAACGGGAGGCTACGGATTGCTCTTAGCTGCTAAACTCTCGAAGACTTTTGGATTTGGGTGATGTTGGGTGATGTTGAAAGCCCTGATTGTGAGCTGAAGCCACCCTTTGATTGAGGAATGTTGAGCAATGCATTCACACACACACACACACACAGAGAGAGAGAGAGAGAGACAGACAGACAGACAGACAGAGAGACACACACAGAGAGAGACAGACAGACAGACAGAGACAGACACACACACACACAGATAGACAGACAGACACACACACACACACACACAGACAGACAGAGACAGAGAGAGAGAGAGACAGACAGAGACAGACACACACACACACACAGAGATAGACAGACAGACAGACACAGACACACACAGACAGACAGACAGACAGAGACAGAAAGACGGAGACGGAGACAGAGACAAAGAACCGGGGGAGAGACGAGAGCATGATTTAACTGCTTGTATTTTAGTTTACAGCTTTATTTCTCAACCTCGGTGACCTTGCGATGGGTGGACTTCAATTCCCAGAATTCCCCAGCCGGCTGGAGAATTCTGGGAGTTGAAGCCCACCCCTCTCAACATCAACAACATGGAGAAACCCTGAGTCAGAGAACAGACACCTTAATACTTGTGATAGCGCGCGATCGGGTTTTTTTTGCGAAAAGGAAAGCCCTGACTGACTATTCATTTTATAAAGAAGAGGTGATTCTTTATTCATTCATTCATTCTTTCTTTCTTTCTTTCTTTCTTTCTTTCTTTCTTTCTTTCTTTCTTTCTTTCTTTCTTTCTTTCTTTTTTTGACAGTGCTCAGGATGTGTTGGAGTAGTGGTAAGTTCTGGATAGATCAAAGAAGCTATCGTTTTTATTCAGTGGCAGAGTTGACTTTCCGCGGTGGAGTTAAAACAAGTCACCAATGCTGAACTGGTTGCATCCTGCCCCGGAGAAGGTGGGGACCTCCTTCACCAAGCACCAAGGCCCAACGAGAGCGCATCGCCCGAGGAGACTTTATTTTGGGGATACATATATATGTATATACTTTTAAGAAGAATTCTTCCTCTTATCACCAGAAATGCTAACCATAAAGTTGCCTGAAATCTTCAGGGTCCATCAAGTACCTCGGGTGAGTAACTCGGAATACAGAATAACAGTGTTGAAAGGGACCTTGGAGGTCTTCTAGTCCAACCCCCTACTCAAGCGCGGAGATCTTATATCATTCCGGACAAATGGCTGTCCAGCCTCTTCTTGAAAAATCTCCAATGTTGGGGCACCCACAACTTCTGGAGGCAAATTGTTCTACTGGTTAATTGTGCTCACTGTCAGGAAATGTCTGCTTAATTTTAGGTTGCTTCTCTCTTGGACGATCTTCCACCCGTTACTTCAGGTCCTGCCCTCAGGATTCAGGAAGGAATCATAGGGCTGGAAGGGACCTTGGAGGTCTTCTAGTCCAACCCCCTGCTCAAGGCAGGAGACCTTATACCATCCCGGTCAAATGGTGCTTTAGTCTGTTGATGAACCCCTCCAGTGATGGAGCACCCACAACTTCTGAAGGCAAACCGGCACTCGTTCACCATCACTGGTGGAGGGTCTTTTGTCTGAAATGGTACAGGGTCTCCTGTTTGAGCAGGGGTTGGACTAGAAGACCTCCAAGGTCCCTTTCAACTCTGTTATTCTGAGGGGGAGGAGGAGGAGAATGGAGGAGGGGAAGGGTCTCCTGTTTGAGCAGGGGGTTGGACTAGAAGACCTCCCAGGCCCCTTCCAACTCTATTATTCTGAGGAGGAGGAGGAGAATGGAGGAGGAGAATGGAGGAGGGGAAGGGTCTCCTGTTTGAGCAGGGGGTTGGACTAGAAGACCTCCAAGGCCCCTTCCAACTCTATTATTCTCAGGAGGAGGAGGAGAATGGAGAATGGAGGAGGAGAATGGAGGAGGGGAAGGGTCTCCTGTTTGAGCAGGGGGTTGGACTAGAAGACCTCCCAGGCCCCTTCCAACTCTCCTGTTATTCTGTTAAATTTGAGACTGTGGAGCCTCAACTGAGACTGCAACTACCAGGATTCCCAGAAGCATGGGGCTTGTAGTCCCAACATTGTTGGATACCTCGCTTTTTATCTTGTAGATTTTCTGGGAAGAAGGCATCGTGTCAGGATACCGACACCCCAAAAGTTCTGCCTTGGATTGCGTCCTCAGCTCCTTCCAACTGAACAACGAAACCGTCAATATTTGGACTCATTTCCTTCCGACTTGGTGAGTCTGGATTTTAGCCGCCACTCAGAAGCATTAATTTCTCACCTCTGGGAATGAACAGAGATGTATTGTCCTGAAGCAACCAACACAAATGCAAGTATTTCCTCTGAATAAAGACATTTCTGTTTTAAAATCATTGCTATTGAGTTTATCTGTCTGACCCAGTTTTACAACGCAATTTAATTCTGGTTGTCAGAACAGTGAGAAATTAATGCTTCCTCCATACCACTTCTACATCGTGAATTGGGGTCATCGGAGACACGCCGGTGACCCCATGCTTTCTGAGACAAAGACATTCCAAATTGGCTTGTGTCTAGGACAGTGGTTCTCCACCTGTGGGTCGGGACCCCATTTGGGGTCGAACGACCATTTCACGGGGGTCGCCAAACAACGCAGTCCGCCATTTTTTCCCCCTTTTCCTTAGCTGTGCTACTCCCTTTTATTCTATTGGCTTTTGAAAGCCAATAGAATAGACTCTCTTGAATAGAGTCTAATTCTATTGGCTTTCAAAAGCCAATAGGAATTGTCCAGGCTGTCTCTGCCCTGCTGAGCCCGCCCAAAGTCCCATTCTGCAAACGGTGTTGCACCAGTTGAGTAGTCCTCGACTTACGACCGGTTGAGTAGTCCTCGACTGACGACCGGTTGGGGGTCGCGGCATTAAAAAGGTTGAGAACCACTGGTCTAGGAAATCCTGTGATGAGCTCAGTAACTCCTCCCACATACCTGATAACATGAGATAGCTGACTAGCTAAACCACATTTCCCATAAGCCATCTCTTAAGGAGACAGCACTTAACCCAATAAATGCCAACCTTCTAACATACAGAACTACATGGTCCAGAACCGGGGGGGGGGGTGACTCCCAAACTTTGATGCGTCAGTTCAGTGGCCGAAGAGGGTCACAGAGTTGACAGCCTTTCTCACTTCCCAGGTATTTCTTATGGCGGTTTGTGATGCTCTCCTCTCGCCTGGACTTCTGGAGTGACACCTACAGCTGGCCCTTCCTGGCCTACATGGCGCTAGTCTGCCTCTATCCCTTCGCTTCGAGCTGTGCTCACACCTTCAGCACCATGTCCACCCATGCGCGACACATCTGCTATTTCCTGGACTACAATGCCCTCAGCCTCTACAGTTTGGGTAAGGGGCTCATAGTTTTTAAAGCTGATCTTCTTTCTGTCTCTCCTTCTCACATTCCCTTAATTCTCAGCCAAGCAAATGCCGAATTTGCTGGGGCATGCTGGAGGCTGCAGCCTCAAAGTTTCTTGGAAGGAAGAGAATGAACCATAGTTTCTTCATTTTTCCCCTTGAAAATAAGTGGCCTTCAATTCCCAGAATCCTCCAGCCAGCATGCTTTAAGAGGGGTGAACTTCTACTCCCATAGTTCCCCAGCCAGCATGCTTTAAGAGGGGTGACTTCAACTCCCAGAATCCCCCAGCCAGCTTGCTTTAAGAGGGGTGACTTCAACTCCCAGAATCCCCCAGCCAGCATGCTTTAAGAGGGGTGACGTCAACTCCCAGAATCCCTAGTCAGCATGCTTTCAGAGGGGTGACTTCAACTCCCAGAATCCCCCAGCCAGCATGCTTTAAGAGGGGTGACTTCAACTCCCAGAATCCCCCAGCCAGCTTACTTTAAGAGGGGTGATGTCAACTCCCAGAATCCCCCAGCCAGCTTGCTTTAAGAGGGGTGACTTCAACTCCCAGAATCCCCCAGCCAGCTTGCTTTAAGAGGGGTGACGTCAACTCCCAGAATCCCTAGCCAGCATGCTTTCAGAGGGGTGACTTCAACTCCCAGAATCCCCCAGCCAGCATGCTTTAAGAGGGGTGACTTCAACTCCCAGAATCCCCCAGCCAGCATGCTTTAAGAGGGGTGACTTCAACTCCCAGAATCCCCCAGCCAGCATGCTTTAAGAGGGGTGACTTCAACTCCCAGAATCTCCCAGCCAGCATGCTTTAAGAGGGGTAACTTCAACTCCCAGAATCCCCCAGCCAGCTTGCTTTAAGAGGGGTGACTTCAACTCCCAGAATCCCCCAGCCAGCATGCTTTAAGAGGGGTGACTTCAACTCCCAGAATGCTGGCTGGGGAATTCTGGGAGTTGAAGTCCATTCAACTGGGGGATTCTGGGAGCTGAAATCCACCCATCTTTGAGGGGCCAAGGTTGAGAAGCGCTGCTACGAATGAAATGCACATTTATACGCTCAATCACACCATCCTCAACTGCTCTGATTTTGCACTGCAACATTGAAATGCAGCGCACTCTTGAAGATGGCCGTGAGAACTGCACAGGACAGAAAGAGACAATGGCAGAAGGTGTTGTACAATTCTGACCCTTGGTTGTTCAGAATCAGAACAACAGAGGTGGAAGGGACCTTGTGGGTCATCTAGTCCAACCCCCTGTCCCAGCAGGAGACCCTACACCATTTCTGATAGCTGGTAGGAAGTGTCCAGTGATGAAGCTCCCACAACATCTGAAGGCAACTTCTGTTCCACTGGTTGATTGTTCTCACCGTCAGAAAAGTTTTTCTTATTTCCAGGCTGAATTTCTCCTTGATCACTTTCCATCCATTATTCTTTGTCTGGCCTTCAGGTGCTTTGGAAAGTAGGAAAATAGGATCAGAACACACACACAGACACACAGACACACACACACACACACACACACACACACACATTTCTCCTAACTTGTCCTTGTTTGGTGTTTCAGGCTGTGCATTCACATATGGCGCCTACGCGATGCCGGATCGTTGGGTCAACAGCCTGGGGCACCACTGGTTTGTCCCCATGGCTGCTATAAATTCCTTTATCTGCACCAGCCTTTCTTGTTATTCTCGGTATGTATTTCAGAATAACAGAATAACAGCGTTGGAAGGGACTTAAGAGGTCTTCTAGTCCAGCCCCCTGCTCAAGCAGGAGACCCTGTACCATTTCAGACAAGTGGCTGTCCAGTCTCTTCTTAAAAACCTCCACTTTTGGAGCATCCACAACTTCTGGTGGCAAGCTGTTCCACTGGTTAATTGTTCTCACTGTGAGGAACAATGCCAGGTTGCTTCTCTCCTTGATCAGTTTTCACCCATTGTTTCTTGTCCTGCCCTCTGGTGCTTTGGAGAATAGGCTGACCCCCTTCTCTTCTCTGTGACAGCCCCTCAAAAACTGGAAGACTGCTATCTTGGTGATGTTAGGGTGGTATCTGACATACCTACTCCCCTCCCTCTCCTCCTCTCCCCCTCCTGTTCCTCCCCTTTCCCTTCCTCCTCCTCCTCTTCCCCTCCCTCCTCCCCTTTCCCTTCTCCTCTCCTCCCCTCTTCCTCCCCCTCCTCCTCCTACTCCCCTCCCTCTCCTCCTCCCTCCCTCTTCCTCCCCTTTTCCTTCTCTCCTTCCCCTCCTCTCCCCTCCTTCTCTTCTCCCTCTCCTTCCTTCTCCTCCTCTTCCCTCCCTCCTCCTCCTCCCCTTTCCTTTCCTTCTCCCCTCCCTCTCCTCCTCTCCCCCTCCTGTTCCTCCCCTTTCCCTTCCTCCTCCTCCTCTTCCCCTCCCTCCTCCCCTTTCCCTTCTCCTCTCCTCCCCTCTTCCTCCCCCTCCTCCTCCTACTCCCCTCCCTCTCCTCCTCCCTCCCTCTTCCTCCCCTTTTCCTTCTCCCCTTCCCCTCCTCTCCCCTCCTTCTCTTCTCCCTCTCCTTCCTTCTCCTCCTCTTCCCTCCCTCCTCCTCCTCCCCTTTCCTTTCCTTCTCCCCTCCCTCTCCTCCTCTCCCCCTCCTGTTCCTCCCCTTTCCCTTCCTCCTCCTCCTTCCCCTCCTCTCCCTCCTCCTGCCTCTCCCTCCTCCCCTTTCCCTCCTCCTCTCCTCCCCTCCTCCCCCTCCTCCCCCTCCCCTCCCTCTCCTCCTCTCCCCCCCTCTTCCTCCCCTTTCCCTCCTCCTCTCCTCCCTTCTCCCTCCTCCTTCTCTCCCTCGCCTTCCTCCTCCTCCTCCCCTTTCGCTTCTCCTCTCCTCCCCTCCTCCTACTACTCCCCTCCCTCTCCTTCTTTTCCCCTCTTCCTCCCCTTTCCTTCTCCTCTCCTTCCCCTCCTCCTCCCCTTTCCCTTCCTCCTCTCCTCCCCTCTTCTCCCTCCTCCTCCTCCTCCTCCTCCTCCCTCTCCAGGTTCCTAGAGCTGGAGTGGCCCCGCTGGAGCAAGACCGCCCGGACAGCGGCCTTCGTCTACCCGTTCTTCTTCGACAACATCCCGCTCTTCTTCAGGGTAGGCGGCACCGGAAGGGGAGAAGGGGACTCTCTGTGTGGAGGGCAGGCCGCAGAATCTAAACCCCAATGATTCCTTTTACATTTTGACTCAGTTTCCCCAAAGGCATCTTCCTTTTCTCTCACTAAGACCAGAGGCCTCCAATCCCCACTCTTGGGTGAATAAACTGCTGACTGAATTAACCAGGTTATTAAGGGGCTTGGCGCCCCTTGATTCAAAATGGTCTGCTATTGCCTCCTACCACAGTATTTTTCAACTTCCTTCAAGGGCTGAAATCTCCTGGTGGTCTCCCATCCTAATCCTAGTTAGTTGGGTTTTTTTTAAAATCAGCCAAAATCCGGTTAGCCGGGCTCTTAAAGGAAAGACAGGCTATAAGCACAGTAATAACAAATCATTGTTGCAAGAAAACTCATTTTGGAAGATATTTGAAGGGCTGTTGAACTCATATCATTTGGTTTTGTCCAGGCAGAGCTCCATCTTGGTTTCAAATTACAAGCAAAAGTTGATGTAGAGAATAGGGGAATAAAGATTTCTTTATTTCAATAATATTTAAAGATGAGTAGATGTTAAGTTCTATTCCAGAAGTATGTAATTTGTCATTCTGTACAGGTAGCACTTGACTTACGACCACAACCGAGCCCAAAATTTATGTTACTAGGTCAGACATTTGTTAAGTGCGTTTTGCCACATTTTACAACCTTTCTAGCCACAGTTGTTAAGTGAATCACTGCAGCTGTTAAGTTAGTAACCCGGTTGGTTAAGTGAATCCGACTTTCCCCATTGACTTTGCTGGTCAGTGATCATGTGACCCCGGGACACTGCAAACCGTCATAATCTGAGTCAGTTGCCAAGAATCTGAATTTTGATCACGTGACCATGGAGATGCATGCTACAGTTGTAAGTGTGAAAAACGGTCATAAATCCCTTTTTTCAGTGCTGTTACTACTTCGAACAGTCACTAAATGTGTTGTAAGTCAAGGACAATCCTGTAAAGAGTGTTGTCAATTGAGAATAAATTTACATCAATTGAAAGCGAATTAAAACGATTCCCATCTTAATAATAATAATAATAATAGTAAAGTTGGAAGGGACCTTGGAGGTCATCTAGTTCAACCCCCTGCTCAGGCAGGAAACCCTACACCATTTCTTGTCATAAGCCTCGCTCTGCTGGTCCCATCCTCCATCTGGGCAGCTGGGGAAGATGGGCCCGGCTGTACCCTGATTCCTCTTTTCAAGGGCCAACTCACGGTGGTCTCCTTCCCTTTCAGCTTTTGTTCTGTTTTGGCGATGATTGTACGTGGAATGACTCCGTGGCCAGTTATTTCTACCACCTTTTCTTTGCTTTGCTGACCGGCTTCCTCTTCGCGTCGCATTTGCCGGAACGGCTGGCTCCCGGTCGCTTTGATTTCATCGGTAAGCAAGGAAGAGTTTTATAAACTAGCACAGGGGTAGGCAACCTTGGCTCTTTTATGACTGGTGGACTTCAACTCCCAGAATTCCTGAGCCAGCATGGGGGAACTATGGCCCCTTCATGACTCGTGGACTTCAACTCCCAGAATTCCTGAGCCAGCATGGGGAACTATGGCCCCCTCATGACTTGTGGACTTCAACTCCCAGAATTCCTGAGCCAGCATGGGGGAACTATGGCCCCTTCATGACTCGTGGACTTCAACTCCCAGAATTCCTGAGCCAGCATGGGGAACTATGGCCCCCTCATGACTTGTGGAATTCAACTCCCAGAATTCCTGAGCCAGCCTGGCTGAGCTTGGAAACCTCTCCCTTTCCCCTCAGCGTGGCTGGCTCTGGAATTCTGGGAGTTGGTCCACGAGTCATGAAGGGACTATGGTTCTCCAAACCATAATATATTTTTCTTGTGATTGATCCTTCAAGTAGGCGGAGATTTTCGCCCGTTCTGCTAAGTTAGACACCTTAAGTATCCATTCTTCCAAAGTAGGCAGTGAGTTTTTCTTCCAATATTGCCCCACCAATAATCTTGCAGCAGTTATAAGGTTCAACATCAAATTAGTTTCTTTAACATCCAAATCTACAGTAATACCCAACAAAAATAATTGCGGAGTAAACTTTTATCTTTTTCTTAAAAATCTTTTGAATATCCCACCAAATCTTAATCCAAAAAGCTTTAATATCTTTACAAGTCCACCAAATATGAAAATAAGTTGCATCTAAATTTCCACATCTCCAACATTTGGGCTGTAAGGTTGGATACCTTTATTATAGGGCCTTTTGCTTGAGCCGTGGGCTGGACTAGAAGACCTCTGAGGTCCCTCCCGACCCTGTTGTTTTTTTAAAATACTGGTCATTCTTCTCTGTCTCCTCTTCTTCTCCCCCCTCCCCTCACCCATATGTAGGTCACAGCCACCAGCTGTTCCACATCTGTGCCGTGGTGGGCACCCATTTCCAGCTGGAAGCCATCCTGGACGACATGAACACTCGACGGACATGGCTGAGCACTCACACCCCGCCGGCCATGTTCACCCGTACCTTTGCCGTTCTGGGTGCCACCTTGCTGGGCAACCTCTTCCTCTTTGCCACCTTTGCCGTGGCCCTCTTCCGCTTGCCGGCGTCCATCCGGATCCTGCAGGGCAGCCTGGCCGAGTCGGAGGGATCCAAGGAGAAGTAGCCGCTGGGGGTACCGTGGTGGCTGTTCTGGAAGGCCTGGCCCTGCCAGCTCACCAGTGATGCCGTCATACCTCAAGGTTGCCTGGCTGTGGAGGAAAATGTAACCTGGTGGAGATGGGGGGGGGTCCCCCTTAGTGCCGTTACCCCAATCCTGAGCACCTGGACCGTATGGTTAGCTTGGTGTCTCTCCACACCAGTGTCCTGGGTGCCTGAGTACAGGCAGTTCTCCCTGTACAGGTAGCCTCGACTTACAACGATTCATTTAGTGACCCTTCGTGTTACAACGGCACTGAAAAAAAAATGACTTAGGGTTGTTTTTCACACGGGTGACCCTTCCAGCATCCCCAGGGTCACGCGATCAGAATTCGGAGGTCTCGTATTTGTGACGGTTGCAGTGTTCTGGGGTCACAGGACAAGCAGGTCAACGGGGAAGTCAGATTCGCTTAACGAGCATGCGACTTAACAACTGCACTGATTCACTCAACAACAAGTGGCAAGAGGGACGTAAAATGGGACAAAACTCACTTTAACAAACACCTCATTTAGCGGCATAAATGTTGGGCTCCAATTGTCGTCAGTTGAGGACTCCCCGGCTTGCCACGGTTCATTTAGTGACCGTTCAAAGTTACAACGGCACTGAAAAAAAAGCGACTTACGGCCGTTTCTCAGAGTTACGACCTTTGCAGCATCCCCAGGATCATTTGACGTCATCTCGGAAAGCAACCAAAGCGATGGTAGCAAACAGAAGCTGGAAGCTGCCACACCAGATGGACCAAGGATGTGGCTGGATGGTTGAGGCAGGTTGTAGAGAAATCTGGAAGAAAAAAACATCTTCTGGTTGGCCTTCCCTTTGATCTTTGGATCAAGAGAGCCACAGTTGTCTAGAGGAGATGATGGCGTGGAGGTTTGAAGGCATTCGGGCAGGCTAGTCTAGAGAGAAGAAGGACTATGGGTGGCCTAATAGCAGTATTCCAGTATTTGAGGGGCTACCACAAAGAAGGGGGGGGTCAATTTATTTTCCAAAGCACCTGAAGGAAAGACAAGAAGCAACGGATGGAAACTGGCCAAAAAGAGAAGCAACCTGGAATTAAGGAGAAACTTCCTGACAGTGAAGACAATTAACCAGTGGAACGGCTTGCCACCAGAAGTTGTGGGTGCTCCATTGCTGGAGGTTTTCAAGAGGAGAATGGACAGCCATTTGTCCAGGATGGTGTAGGGTCTCCTACTTGAACAGCGAGACCTCTGTTGTCCCTTCCATTCCTATGTTTGGAATAATCCTGTTACTCTACAGTTGCAGGAATTGGGTATGGCCAGTCTACAGAAAAGAAGGACTAGGCGGGGACACGACGAGGGCATCTCAACTTATTCTCCAAAGCACCAGAAGGCAGGACAAGGAACAACGGATGGAAACTAATCCAGGAGAGAAGCAACCTGGAACTAAGGAGAAATGTCCTGACAGTGAGAACTATTAACCAGTGGAACAGCTTGCCACTAGACATTCATGGTTGGAGGTTTTTAAGAAGAGACTGAACAGCCACTTCTGAAATGGTGTGTAGGTTCTTCTGCTTGAACTAGACTAGAAATCCTTCCAGCTCCATTCTATAGAGAGGGATTGTCGCAGCGGAGGAAAGAATGGCTAAAAGAAATGTCTGTTTCTGATTTCATTGCTGGGCTCCCGGGGCTGAGCCAGCATCTGCAGAAGGACCTGGAGAGATGCAGTGGATTTTATGGCCTTATTGCACTGATGGTGTTATCTATCTTGGTTAAAGAAACGTCTGCAAGAAAACCACCAAGCTCAGAAAGCACCATTTCCACCCTGAGCGACAAAGATTCTCCTCTCTCAGTCAGTTGGCCTTCTCTGACCAGATGCCCTTTTATCTTCGCAAGAGTTCAGCATTTGGAACTCTGCACCCAAATCTTTTCATTTTGCATCTTGGATTCTAAACGCCCGTCCCCAAGGTATTTTTTTTTGCAAAAGGAACTGGACTTTTTTGTTTTGTTTTCCCCTTGAAAACATTTTGTCTTTCGTCCAAGAAGCAGACCTGAAGAAGCTTCGGGGATGAGAGGTGAAATGTTTTTTTCAAGGACAAAACCCCCGAAAGGCTAATTGCCTTTTGCAAAAGCACCTTTGGGACAACCATGATCTGGATGACTGAGAATCTCCATAGGCCCCGAAATGCATCTTCACATTCTAAGAAACAAAAAGTGTATTCGTAGGAAGCTCACATTGATTCAACCATGATTTAATTGGCACCTTCTATCAGGAGAATCAGCCCTAAAAAGAGAATGAAAATAAGAGAAAGCAAAACTATGATAATGTTTATAATCATTACGAAAGAGCATCGATGGCTATCACTGGGATTAAAAAGCCATTCACAAGACCGGGTTAAAGATGGGTGTTAGATACCTTAGAGAGGGTTAAACTTGTGCTGAAGCCCAGCAAAATGGTTTGGACTCTGCTTTTTAGTCGAAAGAGATATTGTTGAACTTCCCACGTCAAACACGGAAAGCGGCTATCTTCATATAAAAAGTGGGAGGAGCTTTGCAATGTGCTGGCTGCCATCTTGACTTTTTTGACTGGAACCCTCCCCAAAGGGGAAGAAAATGCTGTGCTAGATCTGAGCAGCACCAGATTCCCATTTCAACCCTCAGAAAGAGAAGATCTCTCGTTCCCTTCCTTGTATCAGTACATTGGAATGATCTAATATTGAATTTTTTGGGGAAAAAAAAAGCATAACCTGTGCCCATTGGAACATATTGAATGAAAAAGCTGGACCTTCTTGGATGTAGCCACAGGAACCAAAAACAAACAAACAAACAAACAAAACCCCAAACTCTGAAAATACTAGCAGGATCTGTCTGTGCCTTAATATTACCTTTCTTTATAATGCGTATGATGGTTTTCTAAAGTAAAGGTGATAGCAGCTTAAAACTATTATTCCTCAGTCTCTCCACTGATCCTTCCATCCTGTTAACCAGATTTATTATTTATTTATCAAACTCTTCACTACAGGGAGTCCTTGACTTACAACAGTTCATTTAGTGACCGTTCAAAGTTACAATAGCACTGAAAAAAGTGACTTATGATCATTTTTCGTACTTACAACCTTTGCAGCATCCCCATTGGTCACATGATCAAAATTTGGAGGCTTGGCAACTGACTCGTACTTATGACTGTTGCTGTGTCCCAAAGTCACATGCAACCTTTTGACATGCAAAGTCAATAGGGAAGCCAGATTCACTTAACGACCACGTTAATAAATTATCAACTGCAATGATTCACTTAACAACTATTAAGTGGCAAGCAAGATTGTAAAATGGGACAAAACTCACAACGAACGTCTCTCTTAACACTAGATCAGGGGTAGGCCACCTTGGCTCTTTTATGACTGGTGGACTTCAACTCCCAGAATTCCTGAGCCAGCCATGCTGAGGAGAAAGGGAGAGGTTTCCAAGCTGAGCCATGATGGCTCAGGAATTCTGGGAGTTGAAGTCCACGAGTCTTAAAGTTGCCAAGGTTGAGGACCCCAGATATAGGCCAGGGGTGGGGAACCTTGGCTCTTTTATGACTCGTGGACCTAGACCAGGATTCTCAACCTTTTTAATGCCGCAACCCCCAACCGGTCGTAAGTCGAGGACTACTCAACTGGTGCAGCACCGTTTGCAGAATGGTACTTTTGGCGGGCTCAGCAGGGCAGAGACAGCCTGGACAATTCCTATTGGCTTTGGAAAGCCAATAGAATTAGACTCTATTCAAGAGAGTCTGTTCTATTGGCTTTCAAAAGCCAATAGAATAAAAGGGAGGAGCACAGCTAAGGAAAAAGGGGAAAAAAATGGCGGACTGCGTTGTTTGGCGACCCCCGTGAAATGGCCGTTCGACCCCAAATGGGGTCCCGACCCACAGGTTGAGAACCGCTGAGCTAGAGCATCTCAGAGAGGTGAATGTCTAGTCTAGTGGACTCGGAGGAAGAGCTCAACACGTCACCCCATTCCTAGGTCACCTCGTCATTCAATCCGCGCGAGAAGGTCCCACTCCGCCCAGAGTGCTTTGTCTGAGAGAAAGTTCAACAGACAATTAATTCTCTTTATTTATTTTATACCAGGGAACTGGGAGAGAGGACAAAGCAGGCCGGTCTCTCTTCCTGGTACTAGGAAAACAAAGGCCGGTTTTGAAAAGGCAACCCACATTGCAAAGGTTGCCGCACAAAGGATTCCATTCTCCTGCCCAGTTGGCTGTTTGGGCTGGGCACCTTCCTTTGGTCGCCACATGGATTCTGCGGTGGAAAAACCCCAGGATCGGGTGAGGGCACTGCAGTTCTTCCAGCCTGCCCTGCAGGGCCTCAAAGGAAGAAGGGAGAAGAGGAGAAATGGAGAAGGGAGGAAAAAGGGAGGGAGGGAGGAAAAGGAAGGAAGGAGATTGTAAGGACCCACCCCACTTTGCATCTTAAGAAGACAGAACTCTTGGAATATCTCTTCCAACAGGCATCCTTTATTAAGGGAAGATGGTTGCAGGCGTTCTCGACAGGATCTGAGGGCCAACCCTACTACCATCCCACTCTCTTCTCTGTCCAGTCTGTTCTTAAAAGCCTCCAGGGATGGAGCATCCACAAATTCTGGAGACAAGACGTTCCATTGTTCTGCCAGGAAATTTCTCTTTGGATCTCGGTTGCTTCTTTCCTTGATCCGTTTCCATCCGTTGCTTCTTGTCCTGCCCTCAGGGGCTTTGGAGAATAGCTTGACCCTTTGCTCTTTGGGGCAGTCTTGGACTGCTCTGGTCATTCATTACTGAAGAAACTTTGTTAATTAATAAAAATGATGAATACTCACTAATCAATGAATAAACTCCACTGGCCATTAATTATGAGCGGTAATAAATTAGTGACGTAACTACAACTGGTCATTGGTTAATTAATGAAGCAATTAAGACTGGTCATTAATTAAGAAACTATGAGTGGTCATTAATTAATTGAGACATTATTAGAACTTCATGTAACCTTGATTCCATCCCTCTATTGGCTTTTTTGACTGCTGCTGCACGCTGTTAGCTCACACTGAAGTGATTGTCCACTAGGACTCAATTAATTACAACTGGTTGTTAATTAATTTAGGTCTCCCCTCGTTCTCCTTCACTGGGGAAGGTCCAAACGTCCTGTCCAGAAAAAGATGGGGGCGTCGTGTGGCTACCAGTCTCAGGTCCTCGTCCCAGCCCAGCCCGAATTCGGATCCAGCCCACTGGGCACCAATCCCGCCCTCCGGCTAAAGTCCACCAGCAGGCCTGCATGGAGCACGTACTGGCGCACTTCCTGAGTGAGGTGTGCAATCGCAGGGCACCCCAGGGGCCGAGGCAGGGAAGGAAAGGAACCCCCCCAATCTGAAAAAGGGGGCTCGGATAAACTGCACATCAACGTCTATTAAATGGCCGACTGCCGCCTTGGCTGGGGACCCACCTGCGAAGCCCTCTACAATATCCCAATAATGTTTGCTTTGGTCATGTGAGTTATCTCATTTGTGACCATCCCAAGTTATGCTCTTGATGGGCAGGCTCCATTACGGTCGTAACTCAAGGACCTGTATATTATTTTAGTTTTCATTAGTTAAAATTCTAAGCCTCCCGGAGTCACCTTATAGAGGAAAGTTATCAAAATAATAAAATGTGGGACTCACTTGTAGAAAATGTGGTAAGTTAAAAAAATATGATAGTTATGGAAATGCATATTTACTTGAATAATAATACTTTTTTTAAAAAAGCTAAGTAGAATATCACAGAAATTAGAGTGAAAACGCAGTGCACAAATAAAGTACAAATTTATAAAGTACAGTAATATTATTTCCTTGGAAAAGTTTAAAGGACAAATCTGAAAAAAGGGCAAAGCTAAAAGAGGATAGAAAAAAAATATGCTCATAACTTTGCTTTACAAAGGAAAACTGAAGAGCAAAACCGAGAAAATCAACAATTAAATTATATTTAAAGGAAAGCTTTCTGAAATAAAGACTACAAGTCATTGTATTTGCAAATCATAGTCTCCTCCCTCATTTGCACCCAGAAACA